ATATAAGAGAATCTATTTCCTTTACAAAACAACTCCAAAAACCTCCAGTTGGTAACATCTTTGTCAGGATTTGCAGCTTCGAATCGTTTCACTGTATTAAAACAGTTCCAAAATTCCACAGAGTTTGTGTTGTTGTAGAACTCACAAAATCCGAACGCTCTTCCATCTTCCTTTGCACATTTAGTATAGTCTGGTAACGCACTTTGAAAGGACCATTTTTCACAAAAATCTGCTACTTTTGACAATAATTTCAAAACACTTTGTATGAATGGTAACGATACTGAGCTACTTAGCAAAAATGCCTCTGTTAACAAGTTAATGCAAAACTCAAAACGCTCCACTCCTTTGTGGTCCTGGTTCCATTCCCTACACAACGAAACAGTTTGATTCTCCATGCTTTGTTTGATCCAAATTTAACCGGTTGCCTTGTCAATGAAAACAGATGCCGTTCTATAGAATGATGTAGGTATGTAAATGTTTGAAACGTTTGAATCTTATTTGAAATGATAAACTTTAATGCCAGATTCTCCACCAACAATTTTCATGAAGGGAAGCCTCACTAGTTGAAACGGTACAGGAGATTCTCCATAGGTTGCACTCATTATATACCGTAAAATTGTTCTATCATCAGCCACGCCTATCTTTGAGTTACGTACAGCTGTGAAGTCATCACCTGATTGGGTAATTCACGCCTTTTCGAAGTTTACAGCTCGTAGCATGTGCAAGCCACACTCTTACGTAAACTCAGTCATGAACGTTTTAGTCGCCCTTGGCTGGCATCAATTTTGTCGAAGACTTAGTTTAATTCGCGTGATTTGTTCCACGTGCGATTTGTTTATCGTCTGCTGTCAACATGGCTGAACTGGACAGGCTTGAGGTGAATGTAGGTGATAGAGTAAGGCTGTGTGATGGGAAAAAAGGTGTAATCCGGGCAATTTCAAAAGCAGATACTAATTTTGGGTTTAATCGTTTCCAAATAGAGCTTAATTCGGGAAAGACGGTTACAGAAGCCAAGTATCGTTTTGACGTGATACCGGCTTGTCCGGACCGCGACATGACTTTGGCTCATACATTGTCTGAAACCATTACTATTTGCCAAAATATCGATACTCAGAACGGTTTGTCTGATGATTCTCTTGACGATTTTGATATAGATGGATTTATTGCGTCGGAGGTAAACAAGAACACGAAGAAAAAAACTGACGGTGACGTCAAGAAAGTCCATGAATACCTTAAAAACGTCCTTAGAGAAGTGCGGCCAATTGAAATTATACCCCCTGCACATTTAAACAAATTGCTGTGTATATTTTTCATGAATGTGCGGAATCTAAATGGCCAGGAATGTGAACCAGCTTCTATCAGAAGTATAGCCTGTAGTTTAGATCGATACCTGAAGTCGAAAGATTACGGGAAACAAATTTCAATAAGCCCTGAGTTTTCTAAAGTTATCCGGTCTAAACAAAAAAAAAACTGAAACGTGAGGGCAAAGGAAATCGTGAAAACAGGGCTGATGCTATATCTGATGACGAGATTGACAAATTATACGAATCTGGACAGCTAGGCTGTAGTAATGCCGAAAGTTTGCTTAGAACAATTTGGTTGAATAATACGGTATATTTTGGAATGCGCGGCGTTACCGAACACCGAGACATGCAATGGGGTGATGTGAAATTATGTAAAGATTCTGAAAGTAATGAATATCTTGAGTTCCGAGAGCGTCAGACCAAAACTAGACCGGGTTCCAACCCCAAAAATGTTAGGGAAGTTCCTCCGCGTGCCTGGGCTACCCCCGACAACCCATCACGATGCCCCGTCGCCACTTAAAAAACCTACCGAGCACATCGCCCGCTTGCGTACTGTAACCCTGAAGCCCCCTACTATATCGCAACTAATACAAACTGTGACAAATCAAGCAAGTGGTATAAGTCTCAACCAGTTGGCGTTAACAAACTAGGGACTTTTGTGAAGACTATGGCAGAGAATGCAAGTAAATGAGACTGGAATGTAAACAAAACCCAGTGTATGTTTACAAATCCTATACTCCGCCCCTTTTACGTCAGCTTACGTCATTGATACATTTAAGTACAATGTATTTGTAATGTTGCACTTGCTTACACCTAGGCCTAACATTGTAGCCTTTTTATAATTTAATCGGTTGAAGTCAAAAATAATCTTTTGAGCATAATTCCAGCCCAAAATAATAAATTTCTTTAATTAGGTCGGAATGGTGCATACATTGGCCTTGATTAAATTGCTTGTTATTTATTCAGTTCATATTCAGAGTTTAGATTTATGCCTGTTTTTTATATGACCAGGTCTGATAAACAAGTCTGGGAGTAACAATAACGGGAAAAGACTGACAAACCATAGTGCCAGGAAGTACCTTGTACAAAAACTCAATGACAAAGGATTACCCCCAAATCAGATTATGCAGGTACAAAGTATTTTCACATTGAAATATCTTAACTTGATGATGATCATTAGGGCCTATAATCGTTACGAGTAAATGAACACTTACCTTGTTTAAAGAAATTAAATCCCAAAAAGTTTAACACTAATATAAATTTATAAAAATCTCCTGCTTTCATAATACAGAGCAATGCATCACTGTCAGGCTTAGAGTAGACAATAACTAGATCTCTACTTCCATTGCTCCTATAAAACGTTGCCTAATTACGTAATTCTCTGCAACCTGCAGATTTCCGGGCACAAGAATATCCAGAGTATCACCAGTTACTCAACTTTAAACACAAAGCAGCACCGGACGATTTCAAGAGCGATATCGTCATGCTTGGTGATGTTGGTGACAGGCATTTCGCTAGAGCTAATAGCACATCTACTGCAAGCGAAGTCATTGTCAGACCTCCAAATCCCGAATCAACTGTGTCTGCAAATACCACCGGTGCCCTTACTTCAGTATTTGCAGGTCCTATTCACGGTGGTTCATTCACAATAAGAATGGTAGAAACAGATTACACAACGCGGGGTTGTTGAATACGGCGTTTATTTCCCTCTCGTTAGTTATTTTTTAACTCGAGTGAAATAAACGCCGTATCCAACAACCACACGTTGTGTTATCTCTATATATACCATTGCATTCTGTTCACTCGGTAAAGTGACGCTACCCAAATCGGAATACATTTTGAAGAAAATTAACAAACAATAATCTACCAAGTGTTTGAATCCTGTATTTTTCTTGGTTTTTCACAAATAGATTCCTTCAGCTTTCATTCCATGCTTTGGTTACCTGACACCAGTACGCTTGTTTATAAATAGAACAAAAACCGCATGCCAGGTTCAGCGATGTATTTCAACAGGTACGGGTCTGAAAATAAAACGCCTTTTATGATAATCAGTTCATTCATATAAATAAATGAAATAACTTTAAATACCTTTCTTCGTTTTGTAAAAGGGGCGGGTCGGTGTGACTTATATATAGTGTTAAACACGGTCTCCGTCACTCAGCTAACGGAGCATGCTTCTTTGGCTCTGTTGGTGGAGCCTGTCGATTATCACGCCAGAGACCAGGCTTCGGTTGCCGGTAGAGACACTCGACAGTTTGCGTACTTTCCATGCTCTTGCACTTTGCCGCTCAACGAAATCCCGAATGTTGTGGTATTTGGAGGTCGCTGGTCAATCTCAGGTGGAAGCACGCTATTCTTTTTCCTGTTACAGATAGTGACCGTTGCTGATCCTGTGGTGACAGGGAGTTAGAACAATGGTGGAGTTCGGGGGCGGACACATTAAACATGGGAAGTAGTGTGATAGATCCTAATTGTACATAGCATCATCATCTGGTCGACCTCTAGCTTCGGAGTGTCCGGCTAGAGACTGAAGGGTCGCTAATTCAAATTTCGCCGGAGGCCGGGTGTTTTTCATTACTCCCTCCTATTAAAATCTGTCAAAAATATTGATTTCAACAATACTTTTCATTGTTTAAATATATGATAGATATTGTTGTCTCATGTCATTTTTTTTTATTTATTTAATTTCATTTTGAAAAATTTAAATAGAGATGATGAGCAACATAAAAGACATTGAATGCCATCAAAATGTCATAATGATTTATAAATACTACATTTCTTGTTTAGAATAGTTGACATTCACCTGTATTGCAAAATAAAAATGCTGCATCAGATGTTTGAGAAATGTTCCATTTTGGGTAGGGTGACGTTAGAGATCACCATGAAACCCGATGGAGGCTGGGAATATAAGTTAAAACCCAAAAATCCCAATGGTTAAATGTCGGAATTCGTATTAAATTAACGCTATAGATCGAGAGATCGAGTCACGTTTTACTGGTGGTAATATATAGGCGCACACACAAACAGGAATAGTATATATATAAACAGTCGATGAAGAAATAACAATATTCGAGACAACCTGCCCCTTTATCAAGACATCAATATTACATAAATTACATCACATGCATAGAACATAAAACAAATACAAAGTTATAAATTTAGGTGTCTCGATAATCCCTTTGGCCGACGGACGCCGAAGACCCTCTATAGCGGACAAAAGAAAACCATCCCAAGTTGCTGTATGTATGATGGTGATTGATGTAATTAATGTAATATTTGTTGCCTGGAAAATTTGATAATTCGCATGTCCGTACTTCATTGGTCATATATCTATCCCAGTAATACGCATCCAACGAACATTTGTTTGTTAGTATCCAGTACCAATATTGGGCCATACCGTCGATATAACTTACTAGATTCTATATATAAGAAATTTCCAAACAGCGACTAATGGAGTGTGAACGTACTGAATTTGTGACGAATACTTTCCAATGACTATCAATATCTTTAAACGAAATGCAATTGCATAATTTCAGTTTGGTTCTAGTATTCCGTCTCGCTTTCATTTATTAGTTTTAAAAAGAAGGACGGACGTACCGATCTATCCGGATTTCATACGATGAATTTGAGTCTAAATTTACAGTATTTGCTGCAAACACCCCAGTGAGCCAGATTATATATGCTAAGTATACAAAGATGGAGGAGGAGAAGGAGCAACCTCGAGATATCTTCCCCAATTCTCCAGATGAGGACCCCACAGACCTGGCAAGAAAGGCTGGGAAAGTAATTATCGTCACTTGGTCATTTTGTTACGGCTCAGGGCATTATAGTTTTGTAAATACATGCATGCATCAGATGGTTTATTTAAGATAGTCAATTCAGCGAGATATCGATCACTTCATCATGTCTTTCGAAAGTCAACAGATAGAATTTCAGTCTGAACACTGCTGTAAACACGATTACACCATATTTTGGTCTTCTTTAAAGCTTTTGCCAGAGTTAAACATTCTTGTATCTGTCTACATGGATGTTTTATTTAAAAAATACGAACTACGAGGTCGGAAAAAGTCCTGATTTCACTATTGATTGATATAGCCTATATCAGCGATATTCCACAATAACAGGTATATCTGTTTTGTAATAATGCAAATATCCTACAACCAGAATCCTCTCCTACCTGTTCCAATCTGTTGACAAAACCTGTAAACGAGATTCTGTAATGGTGACCATTTCCAAAATATACTGTTAAATTACGACATAACTTATCAGAGTTTGATATGAAGTCCAACATATGGGGCAAGAGTTTGTCAGTATCATTCTGACCGACTTAAGGTAATTTTCCTTTACTAAGGAGTCAAGAATATCTGGTATGAGTTTTTCCATTTTTAGCTCACAGGGCCAAAAGGTCCAAGTGAGCTTATGCCGTTGTGTGGTGTCTGTCGTCCAGCATCAGCTTTTTCATTTACAAAACTTCTTCTGAATATCCAATGGACCAAATGTTATGGTATTTGGCAGGTATGTTCCAAGGACGAAGCCCATCAAAGTTTTGAAAAAAGGCATGACCTTGACCTATTTTCAAGATCACAGGGGCTGAATTTGGTAAAACACTTTGACAACTTCTTGTCATAAACTGAAAGGCCTAGAGGTGTGATATTTGGCTGGTATGTTCCGAACAAAGTTGGGGAAAATCAATGAGGTTGACCTATGCTTAATGTCACAGGGGTCATATTTGTTATAACCGGTAAATGATATTTAGGTGGTTTTATATACCAAGTGAGTTCTGCAGATCCATTGGGCCCCTTTTTTGTTTGTTTTGTTTTAGAAGAATAACACGTTTTCGAATGGTGAAATAGTCTGTTTGGGTTTTAAAATGAATAACTTAATCCTCAGGCACCATAGTTTTCTAAAATTATGATTTATTTTCTCGGTATTGATGTGGATAGTGGATATCAATATATATGGAGTCCTTGCCAACTTTGTTATTTTATAAGTTAAAGGGAGGTTTGACCCGACAACATCTGTCGGAAGTTTCAGCAGGATTTATTAGTGAACCTTTAGACAGATGTTGTCTGGTCATATCTACCATTAAGTTTGATTGTTGTTTTGGAACTTGGCTCTGTATTCCATTAGCAATCCACTTCCTAAAGACTACCTGCACTTTAAGAAGGTTTTCCACAGGACGTTGGATCTCATTTTCTTTGTCTTGTTGTTTTATTTAACATGTACTTGTAAGTGATTTTGATATCTAACCAGTTTTCTAATGATTTGCAAAACCTATAAATATATACTTAGAGACATTTTTTGTAAAGATGTCAACTTCTTGTCAACAAAAATCTATGTGTATTGTGATGTTGAAAATATGTACTTATGTTATTCTTCTGTTATTTCATATAATTTTTAGACAAATTTGCTGCAGTGGATGGAAATAACGGTATCTGAGCCAGAGAAACGGACGACAACATCCATGAAAGTCCAGGACACCTACATTGTATACCTGATAGAGACAAGGTAGGAAGTGATATCAAGAAACATCCTATTTTATGCCCTTGTCATTTTATAGGTGAGATTGGGGGCATGTATTGTTCACATGTCCATCTACCACATCACATCCTATTGTGTGATGTCTTATGATCTTACACAATCAATTTAAGTCAGTGTCATGTCTTGAGAAACAGAACCTCTTAACAGATTTGGGTCATAGAAATTTGATCCAGAAATACCATCAACATCATCTTTTACACCTGATCAAATTCTGGTTCTCATTGGAGAGTGATGGGATCGTTTTTATTTTCACAAGTATCCTTGTTTGATCTTGAGCTTTGTTGACAATGAAGCATAAGTGAAGTGTCATGATAATTGATCTTAAATCAGGCACTTCTTTTGGAGGTCCTTGCCTGTCAGTCAATCCAATAAACCATTTTTGTCACTCATGTATGAGATCAAGGTCATTGTTGATTTCAATATCTCCACAAAGGATGGAACCTGGAACCTCTGGCTTACTAGTCTTACCTTAAACCAACTGAGTCATGGATAAATCTGGAATTTCGGGTATACTACCCATTGAGGAAAAGGGGAACTTTTTGCCTGTTTTGAGAAATGGGGAAATTTCGAACAAACTGTTTGGGTCAGAATTCAAAAGAGAGAAAGGGTAAAAATATAAGGCATACATGAAGATCGCATTAATAAGATACGACAATGTTGAGGTGAGATTTGATATATTTTTTTCCATTGTGGTGTATGATTTACATTGAAAATATGTTAAATAAAATAAACTAATTAGCCCAAATTTTAGGAAATTTTTACCCATTTTAGAGAAATTTCCCCATGTTTTCAGTACATTTTCTTAGTGAGGATGTTTATACAGTATTCAGAGAGGGAAACATACCACTAGGTGAGCACTTCCATTTTCAGGTTGTAAAAAATTGTTTATGTTCATTCCTGTGAGCTGAAGAGAATTTCTCACTAACCAAGCCAAATATTACAATTAGTTCACTGTATTTATCAGAGTTACAAGCTTCCCATCCAAGAAAAACATACCCTTGAGTTTTCAGGAGTAACACTGATGCCAATTGGGCATTACTTTTAAGTGTTATTCCTGAATACTGCTATTTTTCTAGAAGTATATTTGAAAGTATCAAATAAGTGACTTGTTAAGTAAGGTCCCTAGGTGTGCATATCATGTTTCTTATCACACTTTGTCTGTGGTTGTTCCATTTTGTTGAACTTATTCCATAATACAATTCTTGGTAATGCTGTTTCCCCAGTACTATAAGAAAAAAGGAAGAAATCTTCTCAGATCTCTTGGACATCTTTATTATAGGTCTCAGATATGCATGTTGCATGTTGGATATTCAAGAGTACTCATTACCAGTTTTGATATTCAAAGTTTGTTACCATTAACTTTTAATTTCATGGTTATTTTTTTTTCTTTCTGTTTTTTGCTTTTTTTTTCTTTTTTTTTTTTGTATTTTGTGTTCTTGATATTAATAAAAACTATCTTATATTCATCAAGCACATGCAGTTTATGGTTTTCAACTATCAAAAAGAAAAAATCACCCATGAGATTGGAAGAACTTGTTGTAAACTTCCATTTTAAATCCATCAGGATAACAGATGTAAAGCTGAAGTGTTTTGGAGATGGAACAACATCGCTCTGGCGAAGATACAGCGAGTTTGAACTGCTACGTAACTACCTGGATATCACATACCCTGCTGTAGTTGTACCACCCTTACCAGAAAAAAAGGTAGGAAGATATACAGAGCTAGAAACAGGTAGGACGGTATACAGAACTAAAAACAGGTAGGGACGATATACTGAACTAGAAACAGGTAGGATGGTATACAGAGCTAGAAACAAGTAGGACGGTATACAGAACTAAAAACAGGTAGGGCAATATACTGAACTAGAAACAGGTAGGACGGTATACGAGCTAGAAACAGGTAGGACAATTTACAGAGCTAGAAACAGGTAGGACGGTATACAGAACTAGAAACAGGTAGGACGGTATATAGAACTAGAAACAGGTAGGACGATATACTGAACTAGAAACAGGTAGGACGATATACATAACTAGAAACAGGTAGGACGATTTACAGAACTAGAAACAGGTAGGACAATATACAGAACAAGAAACAGGTAGGAAGGTATACTGAGCTAGAAACGGGTAGGATGGTATACAGACCTAGAAACAGGTAGGATGGTATACAGAGCTAGAAACAGGTAGGACGATGTACAGAGCTAGAAACAGGTGGGAAGATATACAGAACTAGAAACAGGTAGGACGATATACAGAACTAGAAACAGGTAGGACGATATACAGAGCTAGAAACAGGTAGGACGATATACAGAGCTAGAAACAGGTAGGACGATATACAGAGCTAGATACAGGTAGGACGATATGCAGAACTAGACACAGGTAGGACAATATACAGAACTAGACACAGGTAGGACGATATACAGAACTAGATACAGGTAGGACGATATACAGAACTAGACACAGGTAGGACGATATACAGAGCTAGAAACAGGTAGGACGATATACAGAACTAGATACAGGTAGGACGGTATACTGAGTCAGTAAAAGGTGGAAAGACATACTCAACCAAAAACTGGTAGGACATTATGCAGAACTAAAAAATGGTATAAAAATACACAGAACTAGAAACAGGTAGGAGGATATACAGAGTCAGAAAAATGTAGGACCATATACAGAACTAGATACAGGTAGGACATTATACTCAACCAGAAAAAATAGGGCATCAAACAGGCAGGCAATAGTTATTGATACACGATTCAACATTAACAATAACATTGACACACAATGTAACAAATTGACAAGAAAGGCAAGATTGGTACACAAGACAGTTTTTAACATCATTCTTGATAAATCTCCTCAATGAGGATGGAGATTTCCAGAAGTTATCCAGAAAGAGCTGCTTAAGCCTAAATATGTAGTTATAGACTCTGTTCTTATTCAATTTCTACAGCCTCCCACACATCGTCATATCATTGTCTGTGTATTGTTGCAATGGTATACCACATTATATGATGTCAAGCCATTGTTGCTGATGTGAATTATTTAATGCAAGAAAATGCCCCATTGATCTGCTGTATATTATTATGTTTTCAAATATACAGGTCACTTACGTGTGGCAGAACTCTGCGACTGACAAGTTTGACCCTGATTTTGTTGACAGACGCAGGGCAGCCTTGGAGGTAATGTATATCTTCATATGGTTGAAATTGTTGGTACATTGAATTCAGGATGAGAGTAATGTATTAAAAACATATTTGTTTTTAGAAGGTAGATGTTTGTAACCCCTACTATTTATTTGTGACATCCCACTATACAAGTACTGATTTTTTTTCAGTTACCAGTGTATCACTTTGTCCCACATCTCACTTATGTTTGATAAATATTTGTACATCATATTTCATTTAGTAAGCATGAACACATGTGTAAATAATTTGTGTTAGTGCTTAAGATCTTATTAGTTGTTTTTAGGGAATTACTCATAGTAAATTTCAGAATACATTGCTGTGAAATTCTGAATATGAAGTGGGACTTCATAAAAGAAAGTCCTTAATTTTCATGGTCTGTAAAGTCAAGTATTGAGTCATTGATATTATAAATAGAAGTTTAGATTGGACATAAAATGGTGTGGGGTCATCTTCATGACCATGTGATTTTCCCTAGGTACTCTAGTTTCCTCTCACAGTTAGACCCCTCATACACTTCCATTGGGGCCAACAAATGCAATTAATAAAAGTTGGAGAAAGTTGTTTTGAAATTGCTGTGTGTTTCATGTAAGCAATGTGCAACACATAAGAGTATCAAACTGAAATGAAATTTTAACAATTGATCAATTGTATATTCAAGAATAGTTGTTGATGGATTCAAAATTTTGATGTCTGACCTTATTACTGCAGCATCTTGTGAGGAAATTTAAACCTTTTTATTTATGTTTCTGTTGATTTTTTTACAGATATTCTTGCTAAGAGTAGCTGCTCATCCAATCCTTTCTCAGGATAAGGTCTTTATTGGATTCCTACAGCAGGTACGTTCAGCGATATCCTGAATGATCTTGATTAGATTTTGTCTTATGATGAAGTCGATGTGCATGGAACATAATTGTGAACAAGGCAAACAAATTGTTCAATATGTATAGATTAAAAGACTTTCTAGGGCTGATGGTATTCATTGGCTCAGGATGTTCTGTGAAGATGATAATTCAGCTTGTCTGAAAAAATCACCCAGATATCTCTTCCCTTAGTTCCTGTCTGGACATCAAATATTATTCCAATTACCGTTTTCAGCCCTTCTGTCTGGTAGACCAGTTTTCGCCCCTGTGTTAGGTCCCGTCAGGTAGACTAGTTTCAGCCCTTCTGTGAACACTTGGGGGTGGGCGGGGAGGTTGGATACAACGTCCCCCCAATCAGCAGGTTTCGGTGCAACATGTCTGGGAATTTTCATGGATACAAGAAGTATACAAAGTCCTCAACTTATATTCATTTTTATCAGATTGACACTCAGTATATCTTTAGATTTTACATGTGCTGGACAGTATAATTGCCATAATTTTACAATAAATCTATGCATGAGTATTGAATTGTTTCCAATCTTATATTCATTATATATCATATTACATTGTTTATTACTGTTTGTCACAAAAATAACAATTGATTTATATTCTGTTGTATATGTCTTTAGCAACGTCTTTATCAGAAGTCCATGTTTTTATTTTCCATTTTTGTTACAACTAATTTTGTTCCGTCAACAATGATTACATGATTCCACCTACTCATTTTTTATGATGTCACCTTCTATGTTGTTTTACCCATTTTGATGACATTAATAATCTGTTATTGTTGTTCTGATAACAGATCACTTAGATTCAAAACATGTCAACAACCTTATGAAGGAATAATCCTGCATTGGAGAGGATCTTGCCATGTTGTCTGAACTCTAGGAACCTTATTTCTCATGGATGGTTAACACACATGATATTCCGTATAGGAAGAGTTAAACTATCGATAGTTCTTTAGAAACAGTAGGTTTCTCTTGTGAATGTTACTTGAAATATTTAAATCATTGCCACAGTTTTTCTGATTCTTTATTAGGAGGAAGGATGGAAGGACTTGGTGTATAACACAGATTTTCAAAGCAAGGTAACATAGGCTTTTTGTATTTGTGAAGATTTTCTCAGGTGTGATAATGTTCTTAAATGTCATTAGATATAGATTTGTTAAGATTATTACAGAGATCTTACATGACCTAGGTTGTCATGCTTTTCTATGATGAATATTTTGTCATATTATCACATGTATGAATTATTTTAGACTTATCAATACAGCTTCTGTGATATACTAGACCTTTAATCTGTTAATCTATGGTCAGTCATCACTGATCTTGTCTACTGATCACCATTAATCTGTTAATCTATGGTCAGTCATCACTGATCTTGTCTACTGATTGCCATTAATCTGTTAATCTATGGTCAGTCATCACTGATCTTGTCTACTGATCACCATTAATCTGTTAATCTATGGTCAGTCATCACTGATCTTGTCTACTGATCACCATTAATCTGTTAATCTATGGTCAGTCATCACTGATCTTGTCTACTGATCACCATTAATCTGTTAATCTATGGTCAGTCATCACTGATCTTGTCTACTGATTGCCATTAATCTGTTAATCTATGGTCAGTCATCACTGATCTTGTCTACTGATCACCATTAATCTGTTAATCTATGGTCAGTCATCACTGATCTTGTCTACTGATCACCATTAATCTGTTACTCTATGGTCAGTCATCACTGATCTTGTCTACTGATTGCCATTAATCTGTTAATCTATGGTCAGTCATCACTGATCTTGTCTACTGATCACCATTAATCTGTTAATCTATGGTCAGTCATCACTGATCTTGTCTACTGATTGCCATTAATCTGTTAATCTATGGTCAGTCATCACTGATCTTGTCTACTGATCACCATTAATCTGTTAATCTATGGTCAGTCATCACTGATCTTGTCTACTGATCACCATTAATCTGTTAATCTATGGTCAGTCATCACTGATCTTGTCTACTGATCACCATTAATCTGTTAATCTATGGTCAGTCATCACTGATCTTGTCTACTGATCACCATTAATCTGTTAATCTATGGTCAGTCATCACTGATCTTGTCTACTGATCACCTTTAATCTGTTAATCTATGGTCAGTCATCACTGATCTTGTCTACTGATCACCATTAATCTGTTAATCTATGGTCAGTCATCACTGATCTTGTCTACTGATCACCATTAATCTGTTAATCTATGGTCAGTCATCACTGATCTTGTCTACTGATCACCATTAATCTGTTAATCTATGGTCAGTCATCACTGATCTTGTCTACTGATCACCATTAATCTGTTAATCTATGGTCAGTCATCACTGATCTTGTCTACTGATCGCCATTAATCTGTTAATCTATGGTCAGTCATCACTGATCTTGTCTACTGATTGCCATTAATCTGTTAATCTAGTCAGTCATCACTGATCTTGTCTACTGATCACCATTAATCTGTTAATCTATGGTCAGTCATCACTGATCTTGTCTACTGATCGCCATTAATCTGTTAATCTATGGTCAGTCATCACTGATCTTGTCTACTGATCACCATTAATCTGTTAATCTATGGTCAGTCATCACTGATCTTGTCTACTGATCACCATTAATCTGTTAATCTATGGTCAGTCATCACTGATCTTGTCTGTTAATCCATTAATTATGTATGATATATGTTTGATAGCTTTAGATGGGAGAACCTCGATTGGTAATGATGTACCTGTGTTTATAGTCCTATATTTTCTGATACATTGTTTACGTCACCTGACCTATTATGTTACTTCTTTTGTTATGTGCCATTTGTAAACTTTTCACATCTTCATTCTTATCAAGTTTCACCATTTTCTGTAATGCTCCTGCGATGATCCTGATTAAGTACTGCTATTTTTTAAGGTCCAACTGAAATCCAGTATAGTCACAATGTCCACTATTTTGAAAAAAACAACATATTTTAAAACTCTGAAATAGTGCTGTTATTGTTCAGTCTGGCCTAAACATCAACATGACAGCCAGGGTTGCCATTTTATAAAATTATTGTGTGGTCATAGTTTTCATGAACAACAGTAGAATTCAGCTCAGACTTGCCTGAAATGATCCTGCGATGTTCTGGACAAAATTTAAAATTCAATATGGCTGATATGATTGCCATCTTGAAAAAACATATTTGAAACTTCTTCAATTCCACTTCTGCTGCCTGGTATTAAGTTGAAATTAAGTGAGAATGTCGAGAATCTGAAATGAGAAGTGTTGCATATCATTTATAGGTCTTTAATAGCCAGATGACCTGTATGATCCTTGAGCCTATTGATATCACATAACACAACAATCATTTTTGAAATAATACACTGTATGTAGCATCTTTCAATGTTTTAGGCTGATTCCAAATTGAAAAGTTTGAGTGCATCATTCCGCCTGAAGAAACCAGACAGGAGATTTGAGGAGCTGAAGAATTACAGTAATGAGCTTGAAAATAACATCTCCAATCTGCTGAAGATCCGGGCTGTAAGTATCAGAAACTAAACCTTTACCAGTTCTCTCATATTTGAAATATTTCATTACGATACATCTTCTTTGAATGAAATTTCTACCTGGTATAGGGTAAGAATAATGCTTGCTGTCCCCATTGCATGATTTGTAAAAAATGACTAAATCTGGGATCTAGTTTTTCTCTTCCTTCTACACAACTTTTTTCTTCCCAATATCCCACTTAGCACTACCTCATTTGGTCTGAAGTTGAGTGCTAATTTACTCCTGTAGAGAAGAGTTCTTACATGGTAGTTACAGCTCTCTGCTCAATGGTAAGCATTCCTGTAGTGTAACAATTGGTTTTCTTATTATCAGTATAGTGTGTCTGGGTCAGATTACCAGCTGAGTGCCTTCCACAGAATACTTCATTGTGGTATTGCAATATAGTCAACTTCTTGCATTATCACAAGAATGCTAACATGATGATATCGCAGCCTCAATGAAACACAGTTACAAACATGCATCCACTATGCAGACATACAGAAGCTTTCCTTGAATAACCATAGGTATTGATGGGATGTTCAGCAATACAGTAAACATGATTTTAACTAACACATACCTTTTTTTCTGGGTTATAAGATGCAGAGCCGATTTTTGTCCTTTTTTTTTAGATATATATACATATAAGCCATACCCTTTCTTATGATATGGTAATCACTATTGTTGATGTGTAATATACAGGTAACTGATAACGGAAGGCAGTTCTTACAAAGAGGTAACCGCTAAGTTCACCAAAGTTTGTTGATATAACAGACAATGGAAGGCAATTTATCAAGATCATCAATGGAACATTTAATAAAGTTTGTCAATAAATTATACACAGATAATTCTTTGTTTGATTTATGTAGTTCAGAAAATGTAAAATATTGAACTCTTTTGGCTTGGGTGCCTCCACAGATTGTCACAGATATAGGGCCTGACATTACTTACAGTTTTCTGAACAATCTCTCCATCAGTGTCTGTAGCGTTAAATATTAGTGAAAGCCCATGCATGCTAACCAAATTCTTACAGTCCCATATTATTTTCTTGTAAGTTACATAAGGCCATTCATATCGTAAACAAGCATAGCGGTCATTTTAGAATTTGACCTATAATTTGATGACCTATCGATCCAAGGATGCAAAAGGCTATTGGAAACTTCTGCTATGGCTAAATAACTGTGAAAGTCCAGAAGATATTATTGTGATTCGTATTAAAAGGTGTGATTGATTAAATCCATCAGAATATTATTTTCATTTCAATCTCCAAATCATCCTATTCAAGTCACAAACACATGACGGGCAGGTACTTGTAAAAAAAAATCAGCACTGTCTCTACTCCAACATTGCTAGAAGTTTTACATGGTGAGGAACTTGTAACAGGTGCTGTGTAGTCGCAGTCAGCACAATATTGACAGATAATAAAATGGCCAACACACCACCTCTTATGTTATTTGAGTATGCTTAATACAGAGTGATATTGAGTTTCCAGGAAATGCCCATTAATCTTTACTTTTCTGTAGTGGTTATGATAAATTTGGAAATAACAATAATTCAAAGTTAGCTGTCTTATTGATGTAAATCAGCATTCCATATCTACAATTTAAATGTACCTGTCTTACTGGCATACACTTGGCATTTTACTTCTCCCCTTTAAAGATCTCTGTCTCATTGAAGTACATTAACATTTTACATTCACATTTAAGATTAAGAATATCTTATGTATATAAGCATTTAAAAATCTGTAACTCACTCCCATCATTAAGTTCAATGATTCAGTGATGAATATATCAGAAAAACTTGTAAAATGCTTGTATGTTGAAATGAACTTTGCATTCATTAGTGAAGGTAGATATGAAATAGATCAATGACTTGTGTTGCCCAACAACTGTAATCATCAGTATAATCTATCAGGTTTTTAAAATTATCAAAATATCCAGAAAATATTGAAAAGAATAATTCTTGGTACCAGTAATCAGTCACATTTCTTTTATGATTTTATTGGTCAGTTATTCTCCTCCTGTTGAAAATTTTCAGAGAATGGCTGACAAGATTTATGGAATTCACAAGGTGCATGCTAACTACAGTCGTGTGTTTTGTGAGTGGAGTGGCATAGAAAAGGACATGGCAGAGCCACTTCAAAGTGCAGGTCACTATATGAATGTGTGAGTGTCATTTACCAGAAACTGTAAACCTTTCATTTTCATTTTTAGTCAGAATTTGATCACTTCTGTTTGAATATGAGAAATTTGATGAAGAATGAAAATACATCATGTTTGTTTAAATAGTAGTTCTTAAGAGTTTTGGATGATTACTGAGGAATCACTGCTAAACACATGTGTTTATGAATATTGGTTCATAAATCTATGCTTAAAACGCTGTGATCAGTTTTAAAGCATGTTAATGATGTGAATTTTATTGTTTTAATTTTACTCTTGGGATTTAAAGTCATTATATTTAATGATGTTATAAAGCTGTTCACTCTCTGTCGTTGCTTTCAAAGGTATAATTCACCGTGACTTTGACCTTGACATTGATCCTGTATATTTATTGGTTTGAAATTATGGTCAGCCATATAATGACTTCAAATATTTACACTAGAACTAAGTATTCAATCACCATGACCACAGGTTCAGCCAGTCAGTGGACAATGCCTTAGATGATGAAGAGCAGTACGCTGACCAGCTCAAGGAATACTTGGCCTTTGGAGATGCCCTCAGGTAACTGTACATCCTGTTGAGTCTAACTGTGTATAGTAAGGAATACTTGGCCTTTGGAGATGCCCTCAGGTAACTGTACATCCTGTTGGGTCTAACTGTGTATAGTAAGGAATACTTGACCTTTGGAGATGCCCTCAGGTAACTGTACATCCTGTTGGGTCTAACTGTGTAGGGTTATGAATACTTGGCCTTTGGAGATGCCCTCAGGTAACTGTACATCCTGTTGGGTCTAACTGTGTATAGTAAGGAATACTTGGCCTTTGGAGATGCCCTCAGGTAACTGTACTTCCTGTTGCATCTAACTGTGTATAGTAAGGAATACTTGACCTTTGGAGATGCCCTCAGGTAACTGTACATCCTGTTGGGTCTAACTGTGAAGGGTTATGAATACTTGGCCTTTGGAGATGCCCTCAGGTAACTGTACATCCTGTTGGGTCTAACTGTGTATAGTAAGGAATACTTGACCTTTGGAGATGCCCTCAGGTAACTGTACTTCCTGTTGCATCTAAGTGTGTATAGTAAGGAATACTTGACCTTTGGAGATGCCCTCAGGTAACTGTACATCCTGTTGGGTCTAACTGTGTAGGGTTATGAATTCTTGACCTTTGGAGATGCCCTCAGGTAACTGTACATCCTGTTGGGTCTAACTGTGTATAGTAAGGAATACTTGACCTTTGGAGATGCCCTCAGGAAACTGTACATCCTGTTGGGTCTAACTCTGTAGGGTTATGAATACTTGGCCTTTGGAGATGCCCTCAGGTAACTGTACATCCTGTTGAGTCTAACTGTGTATAGTAAGGAATACTTGGCCTTTGGAGATGCCCTCAGGTAACTGTACATCCTGTTGGGTCTAACTTTGTATAGTAAGGAATACTTGACCTTTGGAGATGCCCTTAGGTAACTGTACATCCTGTTGGGTCTAACTCTGTAGGGTTATGAATACTTGGCCTTTGGAGATGCCCTCAGATAACTGTACATCCTGTTGGGTCTAAATGTGTAGGGTTATGAATGCTTGACCTTTAGGAAGCCCTCTTCTTGTTCTTCCACCTGACTGGGTAGCTGGGATATGATCTTTAAAGACAACATGAAGAAAAATAGCAATGTTAAACATACAAGGTAACCTTTTGAGGAGGTTGTTTCTGTCACATCCAAACTTATAAAAGAATGTGCTTTTGACTTTTTGGCCACATTAAGAATCTGCAAGTTGTCTTTAAGAGGACATGATTGGAGGGTTGAAGCTAGAGCTCCTCAACTTGTCCATGTTTCAGATATTTTCATTAGTGGTATAGGTTTCATGAAGTTAACTTTTAGTATTTTTTCATATTTTTGATAAGGGTGAGTATAAGTATAAAATATCACTAAAGATCTGCTACCTATCTGTTACCATGATATAGTAAAATCATGATGAATTTAAGAAAAAAATTACAAAGAAAACATAATTATGGTTTTTTTTTTATAAATTTGACAGGTCTGTGTGTAGGAAATATGAGTGCCTACAGTATGATCTAGAGCGAGCTGAAGACAACGTCTCATATAAGGCCGGTCAGAAAGAGCAGATGGTGAGTGTTAGTGCTGACATATTTCAGTTTCGGTCTGTTGAGATTATTATTGAGCAGTGAAATCTCTAATGTAAATCTCAGATTGACATCGACCTGTTAGATGTTATCTAACATGTAAACATTGTTCTGATTTATAATTGATGAAAGGGACGAAAAACAGATCAATGGATGATCCTAGTAAAAGTGAGGATTTTGGAGGTTAAACATCTGCATCTTCATCAAAGCTGAAACACTGAAGTCAAATCCAAGTAGTGTCTTCTTTTCTGATGAAGATTTGAGTTGATAGCAACTATCAGTAGTCATGTAACACTGAAGAGCATCAAATGTTTCCAACTTTTCAAATGACTTTGAAACTTATAGAGTTTATGAACTTGCCTCTCTTGAATTCTGTTCATTTTTTCATCTTCAACACCTTTAGTGAAATTTTGGTTATTAAAATCTAGCATTAGAATGTTTGAATCAGTTGTGATATGTAAACACTGTAAGCTGGAGGGAAAATGGCAGGATGTTTCTACATAGAAGTGGAAAATTCACAATAGGGAAATTGAAATCACTTTATTTAGTATTCAACTTTTGGTCATGTTGTACAGATCAAGATTAGTAGCTTTGTCCTGCATTGATATAGCCTTCTGTTGATCTGTGCATCTGTCAACTTTTGATTTTGAACCTAATCCTTTAGAAAACCAAGTTGAGTTTCAGGAAACCTGTCTGAAACATCCATGTGGAAGATGTATGAATAGAATACTTGTAGTACTCTGATATACCATGGAAAGCACAAGGCCAAAAAGTGAAAATTAGAGCTTGTCTTAGAATAGCTATACCTTCATAGTGAATGGGTCAATTTTAACCAAGTCCTTTGGCAGGTGATATCATATTTAGTTAAAAATGAAATAATTCACATTCCTGGGTCATAAGGGTATGTACAATGAGTGAGAAATGTTGGGGTGTGAGTTCAGTAGCCACATACTAATACAATATGTGCTATACATTTTCTACATATTCTCATCTTTGTTTCACTCTTCACACCCAACACTATGGCAAACTACTTCCATTGTGATCCGTGATATATGATGGGATTTCATTGGTAGAATGGCTCGTGTAATTGTATATTATTGGTATACTGGCTTGTGTCACTGTATATTATTGGTAGACTGGCTTGTGTCACTGTTTATTATTGGTAGACTGGCTTGTGTCACTGTATATCATTGGTAGACTGGCTTGTGTCACTGTATATCATTGGTGGGCTGGCTTGTGTCACTGTATATCTTTGGTGGACTGGCTTGTGTCACTGTATATCATTGGTGGGCTAGCTTGTGTCGCTGTTTATTATTGGTATTCTGGCTTGTGTCACTGTATATTATTGGTATACTGGCTTGTGTCACTGTATGTTAATGGTATACTGGCTTGTGTCACTGTTTATTATCAGTAGACTGGCTTGTGTCACTGTATATTATTGGTAGACTGGCTTGTGTCACTGTATATCATTGGTAGACTGGCTTGTGTCACTGTATATCATTGGTGGGCTGGCTTGTGTCACTGTATATCATTGGTGGACTGGCTTGTGTCACTTTATATCATTGGTCGGCTAGCTTGTGTCACTTTATATTATTGTAGGACTGGCTCGTGTCACTGTTTACTATTGATAGGCTGGCTCCTGTCAATGTTTACTATTGATAAACTGGCTTGTGTCACTGTATATCATTGGTAGACTGGCTTGTGTCACTTTATATCATTGGTAGACTGGCTTGTGTCACTTTATATCATTGGTAGACTGGCTTGTGTCACTCTATGTCATTGGTAGACTGGCTTGTGTCACTGTATATCATTGGTAGACTGGCTTGTGTCACTGTATGTTATTGGTAGACTGGCTTGTGTCACTGTTTATTATTGGTAGACTGGCTTGTGTCACTGTATATCATTGGTAGGCTGGCTTGTGTCACTTTATGTCATTGGTAGACTGGCTTGTGTCACTGTATGTCATTGGTAGACTGGCTTGTGTCACTGTATATTATTGGTATACTGGCTTGTGTCACTGTATATCATTGGTAGACTGGCTTGTGTCACTGTATATCATTGGTAGACTGGCTTGTGTCACTGTATATCATTGGTAGGCTGGCTTGTGTCACTGTATATCATTGGTAGACTGGCTTGTGTCACTCTATGTCATTGGTAGACTGGCTTGTGTCACTGTATATCATTGGTAGACTGGCTTGTGTCACTGTATGTTATTGGTAGACTGGCTTGTGTCACTGTTTATTATTGGTAGACTGGCTTGTGTCACTGTATATCATTGGTAGGCTGGCTTGTGTCACTTTATGTCATTGGTAGACTGGCTTGTGTCACTGTATGTCATTGGTAGACTGGCTTGTGTCACTGTATATTATTGGTATACTGGCTTGTGTCACTGTATATCATTGGTAGACTGGCTTGTGTCACTGTATATCATTGGTAAACTGGCTTGTGTCACTGTTTATTATTGGTAGGCTGGCTTGTGTCACTGTATATCATTGGTAGGCTGGCTTGTGTCACTGTATATCATTGGTAGACTGGCTTGTGTCACTGTATATCATTTGTAGACTGGCTTGTGTCATTGGCTCATGTCAGTGTATCTCAGCTAGACTGTTTCATGTCTTTTATGGAAGTGATTGTTACTGCAGAATTGTCTGTAATCTTTGACCCCCTCTATCAATATATCTTTGACATGCTAGCAGGAGAACCCGGAAAGTCCTTCTCAGGTAATGTTATCTGTTGCCTGTAATGTTATATAGATGTACAGGTGAAGATCTGTACTGATATAATTATCATTTACCTGTAAAGTAACACATTTCAGGTGAAAATATATAAAGTTGGTTGTTACCTGTGAATGTAAATTTACAGTAGGTATTCCCTATAGTCACAATATGTGAAAGTCAGTATTCCTTATCACAATAGTCACAATATATAACAGTAGGTATTCCTTATCATAATTAAGTCACAATATATAACAGTAGGTATTCCTTATCACAATTAAGTCACAAGATATAACAGTAGGTATTCCTTATCACAATTAAGTCACAAGATATAACAGTAGGTATTCCTTATCACAATTAAGTCACAAGATATAACAGTAGGTATTCCTTATAGTCACAAGATATAACAGTAGGTATTCCTTATCATAATTAAGTCACAAGATATAACAGTAGGTATTCCTTATCATAATTAAGTCACAAGATATAACAGTAGGTATTCCTTATCATAATTAAGTCACAAGATATAACAGTAGGTATTCCTTATCATAATTAAGTCACAAGATATAACAGTAGGTATTTCTTTTAATTATCACAATTAAGTCACAAATTAAATCTCACAGAAGATATGACTTTTTTTTCTCTAGAACTAGGAATCCTCATTTTGCATGTAAATGTTGTAAAAGTCGCATGTTCATACATATGTATGTAACAGTTTCTTAAGTATACACTGGTATGTCAGATTTACAGAAAGAAGTGAAAGTTGTGAGTATACATTGGTATGTCAGATTTACGGAGAGAAATAAAAGTCACATGTACATCTGTATGTACAAAAAGTTTCCTAAGTATACACTGGCATGCCAGATTTACAGAGAAACCACAGCACTTTATATATAATGACCACAATCTTGTATCATGTATGTAATGGTAGTGTCATACTAGCAATTACTGTCATGTTTTATTTTGTTTGGTTCACGGATGATGATTTATGTTCATATAAGGATTGTGTTAGTTATTAGTTTCTTTGTTGGTCCTTCATTAGAAGTAAAAAAAACAAAAACTTGTTTTGAATTAAAACTCAAATTTGACATAATTGGTTTTTCTGAAGTAGTTCTGTCAGAAATGATTGACGGATAATCCAGATGGATTCTTATTCAGTATTTGCAGTAAAATTGATATTTAGTGTTGTCTCCATGAGAACAATAATGAACATTTGTTTAAATTTTGATGAGTGCATGGACCAGTTCTGATTATTTATGAAATTCACTTTAATCTATCAGTAATATGGCCACTTCAAGTATTATGTTAAAAATTTGCTTCAAACTCAAATGCAACTATACATTGTCATAATTTACCATTGATAAGGTATTGTATGATATGGTTCACAGTTATATTGTAACAAAGTATCCAGTACAGCAGCTATAGACTCTATTCGAAAATATATTTGGAACTTTTAATTCTTATTTCATGTAAGAATGGCCTATAGCCATCATGTTTTGTCTGTTGTGATATGATTTGAACCATTGCAGTATGTTTTCAGATTATATCAGTAGGATTAAGCTCAAACTTTTTTGATGTAATCATTAAATGGTCCTCGTCAAGTGTTATTACTCTTTAAGTTGATCCCAAAGCAAAGATTGTAGAATTGGCCATCCTCTGGAAAAACACATTTCAAAACTTCTTTTCCGGTTCTACTGGTGCCATTGATTTGAAAAATTGTAGAGATGTTAATTAGGAGAGGATAGTAGGAAGTGTTTTTTCAGCTTGTTTGAAAGCAAAACATGGCAGCTCCTGTGGTCATTTTGTAGTATGAATGTACAATCATTGTAATTTTTTCAGAAAAAAAACCCCACAAACTTGCATGAAATGATCTTGATGGGGTTCAGACCAGGTGTTGTTATTTGTTGATATTTTGAATTGTTTTGATCATTTCATAATTAATTTCACTACCACTGCTGTTTTTGCTGAAAATGGCCGAGTGATTGAAAACGTGTGATCGTCTTTATCTCTAGCCCTCCACCTCTGGTCTGTGAGAGACAGTCAAGAGGTACTGGCTGTAGGAACTGTAGCTTTCTTCCACCACCCAAACCTTGCACGTCCTTGTAAATAGGATGCAAAACCACAATAAATAGACAAAGGACCGCTTTATGATCAGTTTGTAATTTGCGGTGCCAGCATTTTGAAAACTGAATTTTTTTGGGAATAACTACTAGCAAACTTTAGAAGTTGATATTAATTTTTCTCAAAAAATATCAGTGTCTCTTGTCTTAATGGAGACCATGCTCATTACAATGTATAAGTTAGACTAGATATGAATGCTAGCGAATTAAATGAGATCTTGTATTATACTGAAATGACATCAAGTTGGAGAATTTCAGTTTATATCTGAATCAACATCTAAAACTTGTTTATTTGTGTTATATTCCCCGATTAAGGTTTTGGAAGAAAAAAAAATAGGTTTAACTGGGAGTCACCAAATGCTTCTGTATTAGGTAGAGTAAACACACAGTTATACTGGACTGGTGATAACAGACTTCTTACTTAGGTAAAGTGGTGGTCACTGTTGCAGGTACAGGGGAAGGCTGGGTCATTTTCCTTTACCGGCATGAAGACAAAGCTGTTTGGTGGCGATACCCCAGAACAGCGTGATCACAAGGTTAAACAGTTGGAGGAGCAGATTCAGCAGGCAGACCAGGAACTCCAGCTTGCTAACCAGGAAACACAGTAAGTTGTCTCCCTTGTTTAGAATTTAGTAGATCTATTTGTAAACAGTTTCTGCGTTTCATTTTGTGACTTAATGAATTAAAGATTTTTCTTTATGACATCAACTTACCCTCAACATTACATTAAAGCTGGGAGAAGTCATGAAAAGTTGCTTGTACATGTATAACTTGCATTGGTCAACAAGGGAAACTATCTGAAATAGTGAACATTTTTTAGCTTTTCTAATTTCAAATTTTCTTTGATTCAGTCAGTCTTCCACAAAATGAATTTAGAACTTTTCATTTGATGGTTGAGTGCCCACATTGGTACACACTCATTACCAAGGTTACCAGGGTATGATTGCCTGATTGGACATGAAACATACTTGGTCACCTTCCAAACCTTATTGGTTTTTTATTGGTATTCCAGTTTGCTATCCACAATAGTAAGACCCCCTTTAGTGCATAGATATGGGCCAACATAACCTTACAGTATGTTTCACAATTGTCATAAAATAAATAAAGTTCTTAGTTAATAATTCCATTTTATCCAGGCTATGTTGTATTATCTGAAAATTCTTTTATTTCAGAAATTTCATATAAATTTTAATGTTTTAAAGTCCTAATTATCTTTTTACCAAAACATGTAACTACTACATCTCATATGTTTAGGAACATTAAATTGATAGAAATATACCAGTAAAAAAATGGCTTCTAAATGATCTATTCACACATGAAATGTTTATTTTTCAGGAAGTTTGTAGAAGCTGCCCTGCGTGACATTGATCGATTTAAAAGACAGAAAGTTAAAGATCTTCGGGAGATATTTACCAATTATGCAATCATGCAAATAAAACAAAGTAAAAAGGTAAATATTCCAATCTCCATCAGCTAAGTACCTCCAGACATGCTTTTGATCAGAATCAGGATGTTTAGAGGTTGAATTTATTTTGAAGTTGGTTATAGACCTGGCTCCACTTATATAAAACATCTCAACTTGAGATTTCCTCAAGTCGAGATTTTCCTCAGCTGATATCTCCTCAAAAACCGCTTGTTTAAAATTTTCTCAAGGAACAGGAGGTAGTCATCGGCTAGGATGTCCTTGAGGAATTTTCATACAAGATATTTTCAAGGAGATATTAGCTGAGGAAAATCTGGGCTTGAGGAAATCTCAAGATGAGATGTTTTATACAAGTGGGGCCTGGTCATGAAATCATGAAATTCATATCTTCCTTCCTTCCTTCCTTTTTTTTTTTTTTTTTTGGATATGAAAGGATATGTGAAAGTCAGATAAAGCAAATGTGTTTAGTTTGCTAGTAAATATGTTGTTGTTATTCTTAAGTTTTTTTTTTAATTTTGAAATGTGAATAATGCTTTAAACATACTGATATGCTGTTTTTTTCTGTACAGGGAATCGCAATTTGGACAAGTGCAAAAGACTGCTTTACAAAAATGTGAAATCAAAGACAGCATCGGAAGTGATTATACTATATCTGCTCCTTAGTAAGAGCATGTGACCTTGGTTTAAACTTTCAGAAGTCAGGCTCTCAAGGAGGCTTTGAACTCTTGTTGCTGACTGCTTTATAATGTAATGTTGTCTTTGTGATCTTGTTGGAATGCTCATACAAACAGAAGGGACCAATTAAATTCTGCATCAATATGTACGAGTGGGCTGTAATATGCTAAGAATGACAGATAATTAGAAATGTTAAATGTTCGACATTCAAAATATGCAAGTTACATTCATGAAAAAATATCTTTTTAAACCGGACCATTCTCTTAATTCTAGTTCTCTGACTTCTTTCAAGTATCAACCAAATCATTGATGTCACCCTGATAACTAATATCTACCAAATCATTGATGTTACCCTGATAACTAATATTATCCTGGTCACTGGTGTTACCCTGATAACTAATATTATCCTGATCAATGGTGTTACCCTGATTTCAGTGTTACCCTCATCTCTGGTGTTACCCTGATCTCAGTGTTACCTTCATCTCTGGTGTTACCCTGATCTCAGTGTTACCTTCATCTCTGGTGTTACCCTGATCTCTGGTGTTACCCTGATCTCACTGTTACCCTGATCTCTGGTGTTACCCTGATCTCTGGTGTTACCCTGATCTCTGGTGTTATCTTGGTCACTGGTGTTACCCTGATCTCTGGTGTTATCCTGATCTCTGTTACCCTGTGTGTATCCTGGTCACTGATCTCTGGTGTTACCCTGATCTCTGGTGTTATCTTGGTCACTGGTGTTACCCTGATCTCTGGTGTTATCCTGGTCACTGCTGTTACCCTGATCTCAGTGTTACCCTGGTCACTGGTGTTATCCTGGTCACTGGTGTTACCCTGATCTCTGGTGTTACCCTGATCTCTGGTGTTATCCTGGTCACTGGTGTTACCCTGATCTCTGGTGTTATCCTGGTCACTGGTGTTACCCTGATCTCACTGTTATCCTGGTCACTGCTGTTATCCTGGTCACTGGTGTTACCCTGATCTCAGTGTTACCCTTATCACTGGTGTTATCTTGGTCACTGGTGTTATCCTGGTCACTGGTGTTACCCTGATCTCTGGTGTTACCCTGATCACTGGTGTTACCCTTATCACTGGTGTTATCTTGGTCACTGTTGTTATCTTGGTCACTGGTGTAACCCTGATCTCTGGTGTTATCTTGGTCACTGGTGTTACCCTGATCTCTGGTGTTATCTTGATCTCTGGTGTTATCTTGGTCACTGGTGTTATCTTGGTCACTGGTGTAACCCTGAGCTCTGGTGTTATCCTGGTCACTGGTGTTACCGTGTTCACTGCTGTTACCCTGATCTCTGGTGTTACCCTGATCACTGGTGTTACCCTGTTCACTGGTGTTACCCTGATCACTGCTGTTACCCTGTTCACTGTTGTTACCCTTATCATTACTGTTACCCTGATCACTTGTGTTACCCAATTCAGTGTGTTACCTCAAACATTAGTGTATCCTGCTGTGTTATGAGCCTCTGTTTTAAGATTCTGTTGGTAGATATAAAGTGTTTATCTCTAATTATGATCAGCCATGTCATCCTTTAGTTTGTTATTGGTTTGATTTCCATGTCCCACAGTCAATACACCTGCTGACGTTTTTTGTGACCTTTGACATTGACCGTGTGTACCCTAGTCATATTTTTGTCATTATGTTTGTTTTGAACTGTGGCACAGGACATGGACTTTTTAGTGTCTTCAACATGGTAGGTACAGCATGACGTAATTTTGTCTTTGTTGAAGAATTGGTTCTAGGTTATGACAGTGATGATGACTAACTTATAGTGTGTATGGTTAATTAAGTAATACTAAGGCATTTTTTAATGGTATTCTGGATTGTGATCTATTTATTTATTTTACTTTAGTTTGTGGCCAAATGATGATGATTTACATAGAAATGAAGTTCCAGATGGTTATTTGATAACACATTATGTCCTATTTTCTTTTCTATATGACAATTTCATTTCATAATGCTGTATATAAAACTGTAATTATTGTGAAATGTTAGATGATCATGTGACATTATGAATTTATCATGTCAATATCTGTGACAATCACCTGCAAACCTTTTTGATAAATTGCTATCATCATTTAGCTTTAATAGCTGATGAAACAACAAGCACCACAAACTTCATTCATTTTTGTATTTAAACGATCCTGGTTAACTCCTTATAATGAAACTTCTACAGCACTGCAGGATTTACAGTGTGACAGTGTGTCTCTTATTGTTTTGCTTTGAAGATTGGTTGTGTAATTTTAGAATTTCTAGCAGTAATATGTCTACAAAAAAAAGAAAAGAAAAAAAACTTTTTGCTATGACAGTAAATATTATGACTTAGGCGAGTTTATATTTGTGTTCTGACAGAATGACATAGCTCCATTGTAAGTAATGGAGTAGATTATTTTTTTAAAAGGAGAATTCTCTGTGGGCCCAAACTCTACACAAAATAAATTTACAAACCAGAGAGCTGATGTTATGTTTTAGTGAATGCTTGGTTTTACAGATTTGGGGAAAATTATGGGGGAATTATTAAGGATGTCGGTATGATTTTTGGTAAATTGTTCATGATGTCGGTATGATTTTAGGGGGAGACAAACCTATCTTATTTATGTAAATGTATTCTATGGTTAGTGTTAAACTATTTGTGAGGTAAACTCTTGTTTCAGGTTTGAAATACAGAGGTTATTTATTCCATGTCAAAACATGTATACTGCATCAATGAAATCCTCACCTTGAATTAAACAAGATTATAGCATTGAAAAATATTAGAAATGTTTTACATGTTCATGAATATTTTGTTTTTATTTACCAATAATTTGCATGAAGCATGTTGTATATATTCCAACAAATTGAATCGAACTGATGGACGTAAACTTAATTCATATTAAGGCGGTCGTTGTGTACTAGCATTCCTCTTGTCTTGATTTATTTCTATATGCTTTCATTGCTGTCTCAAGGTCAAGTACAAGGTCACACCACACTGTTATTGATACATATGTGTACTGTATTTGATAAGAGTATCAGTAAAATTCTAATTTTTGCAAGTCTCATTTTAAAAAGAGAATGAATATTAATTTGCTGTAATTGTGCTGTCAGTGGGAAATGTGCAATACTATGTCATTCTTATTAAATATACTCAATATAAACCTATAGACTTGTTCTTTATAATATGGTGATTCTCTGAATATAATAACTCTATATGTATGCTTATGTCTGATATTTCCATAGTATTTCAGTGGCATTGTAAGCTACACTAGCTACATGTAGCTGTAAGGAAGTGGACAGTTCAAATGGTTTTCAACTTTGATAGGAATGTCTTTTTAGTTTTATGCTGGTAAAAAAATATATAAATAAATTGCATACTGAATTAATGTACATTCATGATAAGTTTGTGATTTTTCATACCAGCTTAAACTTACTAAATATTCCTACCAAGTTTGATAAACGATTTTGTTATGTTTTAAAAAAAAAAAAGAAAATATTTAATTTGATAATTTAAAAAAGAATTATTACTACACATAAACTTGCGCGTCATGATGTCACTGACTGCTAATTCGGGTCACATTTAGTGAACAGGAAAATTCATTCATGATTTGTCCTGTCACTTGCCGACTGAAAATAAATAGTTATGGAAACAAGAATGAGACAGCAGTTCCGCAGATGATATGTCTCAATTGCTTGATGAGAATTGAGTACGGTAGTCATTATTATATTTTTTTCATTGTTTTAAGTTTATCTACCACATGGTACAAGTGTCAGTGGAGGTAGGGACAAGGAGAGCTTGGAATAATTATCTGTTTGTTGTTTAAGTTTATCTACCACATGGTACAAGTGTCAGTGGAGGTAGGGACAAGGAGAGCTTGGAATAATTATCTGTTTGTTGTTTAAGTTTATCTACCACATGGTACAAGTGTCAGTGGAGGTAGGGACAAGGAGAGCTTGGAATAATTATCTGTTCATTGTTTAATTTTTATGTACCACATGGTAAATGGTAAGATATTTAAATCCATTTTGATTACATCATTGAATGACATTGAACTGTATGCACTAGATTTATGCAGACAGTTAATAGTTCAAAACAAATTAAAAGAGAGGGAAGAACCTGAAGCCAGGTTACCGATGAGTATATTCTATCTTCTACAGCTGGTTACAGACATGTTTCAGCATTAGGGACCAGCTAACTTGGTGAACATGTAGTTAGTAGTGACAATGGAGGTCGTGTAATTACAACATTAGATTATAATGTCATCAATTAGTTACTAAGGAAATAGTTATGGAACAGACAGAGATCGATAGTGATTGGTGTAAAATCTGAAAATACAAAAGTTAGGAGTGTAAGGATAAATGTATTGAGGAAACAAAGAGCTTTAGTTGTTGAACACACAGAAAAGGTGAAAAGTTGATCGATCACTGCTTGGGTAGTACTGAGTAAATGTGTGTGTATATAGTAGTAGTAGATAATAAACAGAAACTCCAATATGGAAGAAAAATAGTCCCAGCAGATCCACGGTAAGGTAGCGTGTTGCCATTTACTCCTCCAGTCACTGATCGGGCGGAGCTAGTTTTTTTTTTTAAATTTCATTGAAGAATGAAAAAAACCCAGACAAATAGGAAAGCATTTTGCATAAAATGGGAAATTAAATCTGATAAATTTAGTGTTACTTTCTGACTTGATCATTCTTAACATGTGCTAAAATGCTTATGCTTTTTAGATATTCAATACCAAGTATGGGAAACTTGATTGAACAGTTGTCAAGCTTCGCCCAGTTGACCCTGTTGCGCCCAAGTATTTAGCAGACCTAAACGGGATTGCATGCGCTCCAAGACCCTCTCTCATGTAGACTCATAAATCGGCCCACATATATCATTCAAAGACGTTGCTAGTTTGACTAGTTCCTTTATAATGTTGAGCAATAATTTAAACTGGGTTGCTCGTTGAACAATTCCCACTGCTTCAATCGACCATGGTAGCTCTCCACGACGTGACATGTCGCCATATAAACATCTTGTAAGCACGGTGTTGTGGCATTTAGTATCCTCACGATGAGTATATCTAGGACCCTGTAATAGTGGAACTAGCCTTTACCTACTTATCATATATTTCAGATCAAATTTGTTAGAAATGGTCCGAGTTATTTAGATAAAACGCTTTAAAGAACGATTTACTGAGAGAAGGTTGTGGCGCTCCTCGGTTTTAATTGGTCAATAGAGCTAAAGTATAGAAATGGTCAATGAAATAAATAATAAACATTTCGTCTTGGATAGGTGTATCAACATCAACACACCGGTAAGATGTGAGATTTCATTTTTTCCAACTTATGGCAGATTCCTCTGTCGAAACTATTACGTCACATTTTCATCTTAACAATCTGTGCCTGTGGTTGATTAACCCCCCCCCCCCCCCCCCCCCCCAAAAAAAACCCCACAGTTTTAAAATAGTGATCATCACAGAAAACGGACGTGAAATTACTTGAGATTTTTTTTATATGTTCATATACTAAGGCTTAACGCTATTTTAATTACTATACTAGGAAGCGGTGAAAACGTTGCTTTCCTACCTAAGAACGATGAAGACCAGTGTTTTTATATCTAAGTGGCGATGAAAAACACTGCTTCAGTATATAGGAGCCACAAAAACTACAGCTTCGTATTCAGAAACGATCCAAACCACTGCTTCAATTAAGGGTGATTAAAACCAATGGTACATCTCGGACTGGTCACTAATCTGGTTCAAACCGTAATCCACCTTCCTGGGCAACACATCAAATTAGCACTCTACCGTCGGATTATACCCTATTTATCAGTAAATAATAAAACCATGGTCTATTTCCGATTGGAAGAGCTGCAAATTTGAGAAGATTACCCTGACTATCCTGAAGTGAATCTGTAAACTGTGCATTCTAATTACCATGTAATCGCCTGAGATGGCGTATAATAGGCCTCATTAGAGACAATAATCGCTTTAGGTAGCCATTGATGGTGATGATGATCTGCCTGACGACGTATCCAAAGTTCGTGATTTAATTCCTGAATGTGATGTAACTAAAGGAGAGGGAACGAGTTGATGAGCAGTACCCGGTTACTGACAAAGAGCTGCAGGTGGAGCAGGTAGTCGGGCCACAACAAATCGGGTAAGCTAGGAATTACTTTTATCTTTTTTAATTCCATATGTCTTGTATTTTGTTCTCATTTTCTATGTATAATAAAAGCATTTGTCGTCGGGAGCCTGATCATTACAATGAGAAAAAATCCTACCGAACAGGATGCATAATGAGATGACGTACCCTACAAACCTCCCAGTGTGTGTTACACCTATCTCAATGTACACCGAATCTGCTTATTCAAGTATCAATAAATGATTATTTGGTAGACTTCGGACTGAATAAACACCTTTGTGAGTTTTCTTTATACTAAAATGGAGACTTCCGGTCATATCTAAAATGGAACTGGTTTGATGTAAAACATTTTTTCAATCGACGATAGAGGCCATGTTTCTGCAGCGTCACAACTTACCTTCTTTAAAACTTGCTTCTTTCAGTTGTTGAAATTAATAATAATTTAAATTTTTATAAAAAAAATAACCTCTTAGAGTGAAATGCGCCCATTTCCTGCATTACCGACTTCTGCTGTTGGCTTGTGCCAAGATTAAGTCATCCTATCGATTTATACCAACGTAAACGATAGATTAATCCATGTAACATAATTGTTCGATCACTATTTAGTTAAATTTTAATTTTATTCTGTTTAGTAATTATGTTGTAATTATAGTTGATAACAAAGTCCCAGCGTGAGATCACGGAAACTTTCAACCTTCGTTCACTGTAAATGTTGTCTTGTATACGGCAGAAAATATTACTTCACATACATAATACTGGTTTTTGAACCACGATAATTTATAAAATACCGAAATTAATAACTTCAAATCATAAATATAGATAAAACAGCTTTTTCAAAGACTAATTCTTGCATATAACCGTGTTGAATATAAATTAAGTATGTACCCGGTAGTATTACCTGTCTTAGAATGTACTCTCCGTAAAATTGTGAGTTAGACTTTAATGAGTGTGTAATATCTATATTACGGTATACTTCTGATGTGATATGGTGTCTGGAACGATAATAAAAAAAGCAGCAGAATTTAGAATTATTTAAGGATAATTAAATTTACTAGAAATCATAGCATACCATCGTCAACTCGGATGAATACCATTACATACATGTAACACCGTGGACTAACAGTATTAGTGTCTTGGTTACTTACTAGGGATATAGATGGTCGGATAAAGTACAGGGAGAGGCGAAGTGGAGACCCTCTAGAAATCTGGCTTTCCCAATGAAAATTTGCACATTTCTTTAAAATAATATTCAACACTTTATTAGAAACCATAGCATTTGAAAATGATTTGCGGTTTTCCAAGGATTTTATAATTCTGGGGGATATGAGGTAATCATGTTCTGTTCTCAATCTATAAAATTCACTGAAATATGTTATCTGTGTTAGGACGATGGGGATTTTCACGAAAAATACCAACAACCCAGCAGATAACCAGCTCTCAAAGATAGCAGCACTGAGTAACTCTCAGCTGAGCGAAAGCATCATCGACATGCTGATACTGAGGGGGGATGGAAATCGATGCCAGTCCATCTGTAGAGGTTAGTTATATGTTAACATCAGTCTTTCTCCTTTTTTCTCAAATAAACATTTGTTGCGTCAAAATGCTACGTGTAAACAATAGTAACCCTAGCAACCCAGTTCTAAATCTTAACCAGTCTAATAGCTTGTTGTTGTTGATGTTTACCATGTTCTTGAAAAAAGTCGAAACTTTATTTTCCTTGCAGAAAAGAAGTTCTGCGTGAGAACGTATACGTTTTAGTACCTTGTCAATGCAACTGTTTTGTGCGTGTGTGTTGTTTTTGTTTTTTAGAAAAGTAAATGGAAAAGAGTAAAAAAGAGGAATGATTTTTTTCTTCTCTCCTCAGGAAATCCAATAACCAACAATGGAAAGAGAAAGCAAATGGTGAAAATGTTGGCAATAGTTATGATTCCAATACTTGCTCTTCTCGGCATTACAGCTAATTTCTTTGTCGGGACGATGGAAACATATTCCCGATTGCTTACAATCCGCCAGGAGCTGTTCCTCGGACGGGAGCTAGGGACATTTCTACGGTATTTCCAAAGGGAACGAGACATGAGCACATTATACGCAAGCAGGATCGGCCCGGAAACCAAGAGTCGTCTCCTCAACCGATATATTGATACTGACAGCGCGTTAAATAACTTGTCTTCGTGGCCTGTTAGTCCAAACAATCCACGTCCCGAATTCCAAACTGTGGATGATTTCACAACATATCTGGCCAGGCATCGATATGAACTAGACATTAACGTCCTTACAACTGCTGGCGAAATCGCTTTCTATTCTGATTGCATCGACGTTTTTATAAAGTGGCTGTACGAGGCAATATCGGTGGCAAGTTCCGAAGCGATATGGAAAAGTCTAGTTGCTTATCAGGAGATAATTGTTACTAGCGAAAACATCGGAAGAGAGCGAGGCTATGGGATTACCTTCTACGCGTTAGGCTATTTTCGTAACAGAGAGGAGTACCTGATGTTTCTTGAGAGCCAAGACATCGCTAATGTCACTTTTAAATTTGCCCGACAACTTTCGGAAATTGCGTTTAATGTTTACGACAAAAGCTTGAGCGACCATCCAATCGTATTTGAAAACATCAGGAATATGCGTTATGAAATTCGCTCCAACTACTCGCCAGTTGCCTTTGGGTCACTCGACCTCGCTGATAGTTGGGATGCAAATATGACTTTCTATCAGGATGTCATTCGGCAAGTCCAGCTGGCCATTGCTACAGAAATAGACGCCATTATGGAAACAAATGCAGGAAAAAGTGTTCGCAACATCACCGTTTTTTCTTTTATGTTTGGGGCTTTCTTGTTGATATGCCCACTAGTAGTATTTGGTGTGTATTCACTGACGTCACAAATTCAAAAATACTCCATTTCCATTGCCACCAGGTAAGAACCCTTAGAATAAAAATTCGTATATCAGAACCAGTAGGAAAATTATGTGTGACATTTCGATGACTAAACTACCACTCCATCCCACAAATCTCCAGTGTGAAGCGTGATTGTACCGAGGTATACAGCGAACGCTTCACACTGTCCATTCCTTTGATAAAGGTGACAGTAGAGCCAGAAAAATGTCATACCTAATTGTCTCTCTGGTTGTGTTATTAGTACTTCTATATATTTACTATTTTACTAATTAAACAAAGTGAGAGCTATTCTCTGACAATGTACTTATGTTGCTTGAGAGACGAAAAACAGATCTATTGTATAGACATATGTCATCATTAATTTACCAGGAAGAACGGCCTTTATGTGACCAATTGTCAACAAATCTTCCCTTACCTAGCCCATGTTTTCTATGCAATCATCGTTAATTATGGCAATATGGAAACAGCAACGTCACTAGTGTAAATACATCATCATCGACGGAATATCAATTCTCACTTTAATCCGATGAATCTTGGGTAAATATGAACCAAAGAAAAGGTTTACACAAACACCTCTCGAAGACAACAAAGATGATTAAAACCCTGTGTATGACAGATTTACTTATAGGGACTAATTACAATCTCTTCTAATTGTAGAACACGTGCGTTGAAACAGGAGAAAATATGCACGGACACACTTCTTTACCAGATGTTACCAAAATCGGTCGCAGAGAGACTAAAACGTAGCGAGGAGGTTCTCGCCGAAACCTTCCAGCATGCAACGCTTTTCTTCGGCGATATTGTAGGATTCACACAAATCTCCTCCAGCAGTTCACCACTTCAGGTTGTCAATATGCTTAACAAGTTGTTTTCGTGTTTTGACAAGCGCATTGAGGAACACGATGTATACAAAGTGGAAACAATAGGGGATGCTTATATGGTAGTATCTGGTAGGTATGAATATATCTATTGTTTTTACATACATTACAAAGAAGAGGTGCTAAATTTCAAATATTTGTTCCTCTTAGTTCTTTGTTGTGTCCTTTTTTATTTTGGGAGTAAAACAAAAAGGTTGACAAGCGGCTATCGTGGATTTTCACAATATAAGTTTCTCGTCGCTGTTTTTGTTAGAAATACTGGAAGAATCTTTCGCAGGTCTCATACATAGGTAACACTTACTCACTAGTTATACTATTTTGATTTTGGGACTAATCAGAAAAAATGGCTTACGTTCGACAATTTTGGATTTGGTAGTTAATATAATTATTATGGAATTTTCATATTCATGTGATTACAAGTAAGAACAAAAGTAGTGGAAAGTGGTAAAAAAGAAAAAGTAACGAAGGGAAAAAGCTAGCATTGAAGTATCACCCAGCAAAACTTAGGTCTATAATGAATGGCAGCAGCGTGGTCATAAGAGGCGCCTTTCTTTATCAGGAAAATTCACTTTCAATTATTTAACACTGGAAATTGTCATCCTATCTTTATGTAATCCCTCCATGTATTAAAGCAATTAATGTTTTGGTAAAATATATTATGGTCCCCTAACAAACTTGATAACGCCAAGTACGGCTTTATAAAGAACTGGATTTGTCAGCAGTATCAGCGTTAAAACACAATTTTAACACGATCGACTGTCATATTACTTATTTGTAAGTCTGTCTTCACACGTCTTCGTCAGTTCTCGGAGGAACAGTGTCAGTAGAGTCAATCTACAACATTACAATAGTCACGTGATATAAGTATATAAAGCAAACATTGATCATATATAGATATGTTTATTTCAGGCATCCCCAAACCGAATGGTCAGCAGCATGCCGGAGAGATCGCCACGATGGCGCTGGATCTCTTGGTACATGTTAGTAGTATGAAGATACCGCACATCCCGGGCAAGAAGTTTCAGCTCCGGATAGGATGTCACTCAGGTACACACACGATGTAGTGGTCAGTCTCGTGACGTACCAACTCCGGATAGGGTGTCACTCAGGTACACACACGATACAGCGTTCAGTCTCATGACGTACCAACTCCGGAAAGGGTGTCACTCAGGTACACACACGATACAGTGGTCAGTCTCGTGACGTACCAACTCCGTATAGGGGGTCACTCAGGTACACACACGATGTAGTGGTCAGTCTCGTGACGTACCAACTCCGTATAGGGTGTCACTCAGGTACACACACGATGCAGTGGTCAGTCACATGACGTACCAACTCCGGATAGTGTGTCACTCAGGTACACACACGATACAGTGGTCAGTCACATAATACGTTCTAGCTCCGGAAAGGGTGTCACTCGGGTACACACACGATACAGTGGTCAGTAACATAATAATACGTTCTAGCTCCGGAAAGGGTGTCACTCAGGTACACACACGATACAGTGGTCAGTCACATAATAATACGTTCTAGCTCCGGAAAAGGTGTCACTCAGGTACACACACGATACAGTGGTCAGTAGGGTGTCAGTACACACACGATACAGTGGTCAGTCACATAATAATACATTCTAGCTCCGGAAAGGGTGTCACTCAGGTACACACACGATACAGTGGTCAGTCTCGTGACGTACCAACTCCGGATAGGGTGTCACCCAGGTACACACACGATGTAGTGGTCAGTCTCGTGACGTACAAACTCCGGATAGGGTGTCACTCAGGTACACACACGATGTAGTGGTCAGTCTCGTGACGTACCAACTCCGGATAGGGTGTCACTCAGGTACACACACGATACAGTGGTCAGTCTCGTGACGTACAACTCCGGATAGGGTGTCACTCAGGTACACACACGATACAGTGGTCAGTCTCATGACGTACCAACTCCGGATAGGGTGTCACTCAGGTACACACACGATGTAGTGGTCAGTCTCGTGACGTACCAACTCCGGATAGGGTGTCACTCAGGTACACACACGATACAGTGGTCAGTCTCGTGACGTACAACTCCGGATAGGGTGTCACTCAGGTACACACACGATACAGTGGTCAGTCTCGTGACGTACAACTCCGGATAGGATGTCACTCAGGTACACACACGATACAGTGGTCAGTCTCATGACGTACCAACTCCGGATAGGGTGTCACTCAGGTACACACACGATACAGCGTTCAGTCTCATGACGTACCAACTCCGGAAAGGGTGTCACTCAGGTACACACACGATACAGTGGTCAGTCTCGTGACGTACCAACTCCGTATAGGGGGTCACTCAGGTACACACACGATGTAGTGGTCAGTCTCGTGACGTACCAACTCCGTATAGGGTGTCACTCAGGTACACACACGATGCAGTGGTCAGTCACATGACGTACCAACTCCGGATAGTGTGTCACTCAGGTACACACACGATACAGTGGTCAGTCACATAATACGTTCTAGCTCCGGAAAGGGTGTCACTCGGGTACACACACGATACAGTGGTCAGTCACATAATACGTTCTAGCTCCGGAAAGGGTGTCACTCAGGTACACACACGATACAGTGGTCAGTCTCGTGACGTACAACTCCGGATAGGGTGTCACTCAGGTACACACACGATACAGTGGTCAGTCTCGTGACGTACAAACTCCGGATAGGGTGTCACTCAGGTACACACACGATACAGTGGTCAGTCTCGTGACGTACAACTCCGGATAGGGTGTCACTCAGGTACACACACGATACAGTGGTCAGTCACTAGACTTTCTTACTCGCGATCTGGTGTGTGTCAGTCAGATACACGATGTAGTGGTCAGTCTCCTGACGTACCAACTCCGGATAGGGTGTCACTCAGGTACACACACGATACAGTGGTCAGTCTCAGTACACACACGACGTACCAACTCCACACACGGTGGTCATAGGTACACACACGATACAGTGGTGTCTCGTGACGTACAGGTACACACACACACGATACAGTGGTCAGTCTCGGGTGTCACTCAGGTACACACACGATACAGTGGTCAGTCTCATGACACACACACACGATACAGTGGTCAGTCTCCGTACCAACTCCGGATAGGGTGTCACTCAGGTACACACACGATACAGTGGTCAGTCTCGTGACGTACAACTCCGGATAGGGTGTCACTCAGGTACACACACGATACAGTGGTCAGTCTCGTGACGTACAACTCCGGATAGGGTGTCACTCAGGTACACACACGATGAAGTGCTCAGTCTCATGACGTTTAGTTTGTTTAACACGGATAGGAAAACACATTAAGAATTAATTTATTATCCGATAATGAACAATGTGTTCTGCGAAATTTCGTTCCTCCGAACAATTACAAAATCAAGGTATGTGAAATATCGATGTTGCTGACACTAACGTTATTCTTTGGCCGTCGTGTTTGGTTCAATGTGTATTGCCGATATTGATTTTTTTTTGCGACAATGCCTCAAGTGTAACGCCTTTTCTAAAGTTAGTGGATAATGACCTCGTTCTTTACGTTTAGAAGCGACAGTGCATGGAAAATTTAATATATATTGTAAAGTTTAATATTTTTTGTTTGTCTTTGTTTGTTTTTTCATTAACTTTTTACATGCCGTGTCCAGCACAATAAATGCATGAACATCCCTATATTATCCACAGGCTCCGTTGTGGCTGGTGTGGTAGGGACTAAGATGCCAAGGTATTGCTTATTTGGAGAGAGTGTCAATGTGGCTGCTAAAATGGAGGCTCTAGGCCGGCGTAAGTCAATATTACAATAGTGGTGTCTACATAGAATTCTAAAATGTATGATAAATACACGTAAAAAATGGAAAAAAATGTATTGCAGTTTTCAAGGAGCAACTCAACTGGTTGGGATTGTTATTATATCTACTGATTTCTATATAATAAAATCAGTATACCAAAATATCGTAACATGAAAGAAAGTGCTACCTTTTCCAAGCTTACCCAACGTTCATTAACGGCAATGTGTTTCTTAACTTAAACATTTCCCTGATTCAGTGCTTTTATCTTTACATTTCCCGATAAAAAACAACTAGCTCCCCCTCTTGATAATGATTGGAGGAGTCTATGGCAACACGCCACCTTGCGGCGGTATTTTGGAATATCTGTTTTATATGAATGAATTATCTGTTTACACATTAACCTGATGAAAACAAAAAAGGACTACAACATAATAAAATATTGAATTATCTTGTAAACAAACAACAAACAACGAATAGTTAACAGATTAATCAGGGGAAAATATGTTATTTAATGTTGTTACACATTTTCATTTGGAATGTGGCGGTGCGAATTAGCTGTCAATGACGTCACGTCATGTCACGCAAGCTGTTATGCGTAGTGATTTGTTAGAAAATAATCCTTCATTAAAAGATCAAATTTATACATTTTCATGTTACTTTTGTTTTTGAAAACTATCTAAGACTTTTATTATTAGATTTGATAGGAATATTTTTTAGTTTCATGTTGTTGTGAAAGGAAAACCTTTTTGTAAATAAATGCACGTAACTTAAATAGTAGTTTAAATAATAATAGTCAAATTTAGGTCAGTTAAGGTTCGTGACAGTGCACGAGACCTGCTTCGAAGGTCTTTGGAGAGAAAACAATCGCGTGGCACCCGTCGTGTCTCATTCTTCCTTATTTCAAGTATATATCCCCAGAAATAAATACAACAAACTTTCATGAAGTAGTAGGTGAGTATTAAATTTCCTGGAACGGCATTTCTTCAAAATTTTGAGAAATTATTCAACAAACATCGATAGGAAAAATACCAGATGGGCATTTAGGATTATATAAATCATCCGTATACCTGGCGAAGTAAAATTCACTCGTTATTCCAAAGCTAACAAAAGTACGAACATCTTGTAATAACATCATTGTCCAAAGAATATTTCCAGGATTTTTTTGTGTGGAGAATATTAATCAATTTGTTGGTAATCTTTTTCTGTTGTTAGCGAGTATGATACACATCAGTGAGACAACGTTCGACATTCTCAATACACTTGGTGGCTACGTCATGGAAATACGAACGGACGACGGCGCAAAGGTAACATTTTATAGGTTTTACATACCAGATATTTCGTGTTGAACTATAGCTGGTGATTATAGGGTGTTAAGTACACGCTGTACTGATGGTGGTTATAGGGTGTGAAGTACATTTTGTGTTGATGGTGGTTATAGGGTTTGAAGTACATTTTGTGTTGATGGTGGTTATAGGGTGTGAAGTACATGCTGTACTGATGGTGGTTATAGGGTGTGAAGTACATGCTGTGTTGATAGTGGTTATAGGGTGTGAAGTACATGCTGTACTGATGGTGGTTATAGGGTGTGAAGTACATGCTGTGTTGATGGTGGTTATAGGGTGTGAAGTACATGCTGTACTGATGGTGGTTATAGAGTGTGAAGTACATGCTGTGTTGTTGGTGGTTATAGGGTGTGAAGTACATGCTGTGTTGATAGTGGTTATAGGGTGTGAAGTACATGCTGTACTGATGGTGGTTATAGGGTGTGAAGTACATGCTGTGTTGATGGTGGTTATAGGGTGTGAAGTACATGCTGTACTGATGGTGGTTATAGAGTGTGAAGTACATGCTGTGTTGTTGGTGGTTATAGGGTGTGAAGTACATGCTGTACTGATGGTGGTTATAGAGTGTGAAGTACATGCTGTGTTGTTGGTGGTTATAGGGTGTGAAGTACATGCTGTACTGATGGTGGTTATAGGGTGTGAAGTACATGCTGTGTTGATGGTGGTTATAGGGTGTGAAGTACATGCTGTACTGATGGTGGTTATAGAGTGTGAAGTACATGCTGTACTGATGGTGGTTATAGGGTGTGAAGTACATGCTGTGTTGATGGTGGTTATAGGGTGTGAAGTACATGCTGTACTGATGGTGGTTATAGAGTGTGAAGTACATGCTGTACTGATGGTGGTTATAGGGTGTGAAGTACATGCTGTGTTGATAGTGATTATAGGGTGTGAAGTACATGCTGTACTGATGGAGGTTATAGGGTGTGAAGTACATGCTGTGTTGATAGTGATTATAGGGTGTGAAGTACATGCTGTACTGATGGTGGTTATAGGGTGTGAAGTACATGCTGTGTTGATGGTGGTTATAGGGTGTGAAGCACATGCTGTACTGATGATGGTTATAGAGTGTGAAGTACATGCTGTGTTGTTGGTGGTTATAGGGTGTGAAGTACATGCTGTACTGATGGTGGTTATAGGGTGTGAAGTACATGCTGTGTTGATGGTGGTTATAGGGTGTGAAGTACATGCTGTGTTGATGGTGGTTATAGGGTGTGAAGTACATGCTGTGTTGTTGGTGGTTATAGGGTGTGAAGTACATGCTGTACTGATGGTGGTTATAGGGTGTGAAGTACATGCTGTGTTGTTGGTGGTTATAGGGTGTGAAGTACATGCTGTACTGATGGTGGTTATAGGGTGTGAAGTACATGCTGTACTGATGGTGGTTACAGGATGTGAAGTACATGACGATTGAAAAATAACACATTTTCAGAAATTATGATTTTTGGAGACCTGTGTCTGTTGCAATGTCTAGGGGGTGTTATACATTCCTAAATGTTTATGTAAATTTGGATGAAAAACCACTGACTAATTTATAGATAAATCCATGGAAAACCATTTGGTTTGAGGTTAAAGACTACACTATAGATAATTAAGAATTAAATCAAATGTCACGATACAGAAACTTAGTTGATGTTTTAGAGCGACCCAGTGCTGATGTCTGCCTTCAAAGGAATTGTACGAACCTACTGGTTAACACACAAGGAGGGTTTCACCGCGGACGATATTTACCTATCATCTAGGGACAACACCCCAGAATCAGACGACACTTACCACAAACTTCACGACAACAAAAGTCACAACGAGGATGGGGGCAAAAAGAAGAACGAGGTCAACAGAAACCAATAAGTCCAAAAAAGGATCAGATATCTTGTCAACAAAAGCAAAAATAACATTATCAACACAGGAAAACTGATTTTGTCCTGAAAATAACAAAAATGCTTTGTCAACATAGTAAAAATACTAACATCGTCAACAAAAATGAATTGCATCGTATTAATGATGATATCCCTGTCTCATATTGAGCTAACATTATAAAACGCATGTCCCTGTAACAATGACATCAGCAAGAAATGCGACAACAGTGGGTGATAGATCATTGTATGGAATCACTAGAAAATGAGTATGTGATGTACTCTGTCACGATCAGTAATTATTTAATGCGATGTAATTTGTGTCACGATCAGTAATTATATAATGCATGTAATTTGTGTCATGATCAGTAATTATTTAATGCGATGTAATTTGTGTCACGATCAGTAATTATATAATGCATGTAATTTGTGTCATGATCAGTAATTATATAATGTGATGTAATTTGTGTCACGATCAGTAATTATATAATGTGATGTACGTTGTGTCACGATCAGTAATTATATAATGTGATGTACGTTGTGTCATGATCAGTAATTATATAATGCATGTAATTTGTGTCACGATCAGTAATTATATAATGTGATGTACGTTGTGTCACGATCAGTAATTATATAATGCGATGTACGTTGTGTCACGATCAGTAATTATATAATGCGATGTAATTTGTGTCATGATCAGTAATTATATAATGTGATGTACGTTGTGTCACAATCAGTAATTATATAATGCATGTAATTTGTGTCATGATCAGTAATTATATAATGCATGTAATTTGTGTCATGATCAGTAATTATTTAATGTGATGTAATTTGTGTCACGATCAGTAATTATATAATGCGATGTAATTTGTGTCATGATCAGTAATTATATAATGTGATGTACGTTGTGTCACGATCAGTAATTATATAATGCATGTAATTTGTGTCATGATCAGTAATTATATAATGCATGTAATTTGTGTCATGATCAGTAATTATTTAATGTGATGTAATTTGTGTCACGATCAGTAATTATATAATGCGATGTAATTTGTGTCATGATCAGTAATTATATAATGTGATGTACGTTGTGTCACGATCAGTAATTATATAATGCATGTAATTTGTGTCATGATCAGTAATTATATAATGCATGTAATTTGTGTCATGATCAGTAATTATTTAATGTGATGTAATTTGTGTCACGATCAGTAATGATATAATGCGATGTAATTTGTGTCATGATCAGTAATTATATAATGTGATGTACGTTGTGTCACGATCAGTAATTATATAATGTGATGTACGTTGTGTCACGATCAGTAATTATATAATGTGATGTACGTTGTGTCACGATCAGTAATTATATAATGCGATGTAATTTGTGTCATGATCAGTAATTATATAATGTGATGTAATTTGTGTCATGATCAGTAATTATATAATGCGATGTACGTTGTGTCACGATCAGTAATTATATAATGTGATGTACGTTGTGTCACGATCAGTAATTATATAATGTGATGTACGTTGTGTCACGATCAGTAATTATATAATGCATGTAATTTGTGTCATGATCAGTAATTATTTAATGTGATGTAATTTGTGTCACGATCAGTAATTATATAATGCGATGTAATTTGTGTCATGATCAGTAATTATATAATGTGATGTACGTTGTGTCACGATCAGTAATTATATAATGCATGTAATTTGTGTCATGATCAGTAATTATATAATGCATGTAATTTGTGTCATGATCAGTAATTAGTTAATGTGATGTAATTTGTGTCACGATCAGTAATTATATAATGCGATGTAATTTGTGTCATGATCAGTAATTATATAATGTGATGTAATTTGTGTCATGATCAGTAATTATTTAATGTGATGTAATTTGTGTCACGATCAGTAATTATATAATGCGATGTAATTATATAATGCGATGTAATTTGTGTCAGTAATTATTTAATGTGATGTAATTTGTGTCACGATCAGTAATTATATAATGCGATGTAATTTGTGTCATGATCAGTAATTATTTAATGTGATGTAATTTGTGTCACGATCAGTAATTATATAATGCGATGTAATTTGTGTCATGATCAGTAATTATATAATGTGATGTAATTTGTGTCGATCAGTAATTTGTGTCATGATCAGTAATTATTTAATGTGATGTATTTGTGTCACGATCAGTAATTATATAATGCGATGTAATTTGTGTCATGATCAGTAATTATATAAATTATATAATGTGATGTACGTTGTGTCACGATCAGTAATTATATAATGCGATGTAATTTGTGTCATGATCAGTAATTATATAATGTGATGTAATTTGTGTCATGATCAGTAATTATATAATGTGATGTAATTTGTGTCATGATCAGTAATTATATAATGCGATGTAATTTGTGTCATGATCAGTAATTATATAATGTGATGTACGTTGTGTCACGATCAGTAATTATATAATGTGATGTACGTTGTGTCATGATCAGTAATTATATAATGCATGTAATTTGTGTCACGATCAGTAATTATATAATGTGATGTACGTTGTGTCACGATCAGTAATTATATAATGTGATGTACGTTGTGTCACGATCAGTAATTATATAATGCGATGTAATTTGTGTCATGATCAGTAATTATATAATGTGATGTACGTTGTGTCACGATCAGTAATTATATAATGCATGTAATTTGTGTCATGATCAGTAATTATATAATGCATGTAATTTGTGTCATGATCAGTAATTATTTAATGTGATGTAATTTGTGTCACGATCAGTAATTATATAATGCGATGTAATTTGTGTCATGATCAGTAATTATATAATGTGATGTACGTTGTGTCACGATCAGTAATTATATAATGCATGTAATTTGTGTCATGATCAGTAATTATATAATGCATGTAATTTGTGTCATGATCAGTAATTATTTAATGTGATGTAATTTGTGTCACGATCAGTAATTATATAATGCGATGTAATTTGTGTCATGATCAGTAATTATATAATGTGATGTACGTTGTGTCACGATCAGTAATTATATAATGCATGTAATTTGTGTCATGATCAGTAATTATATAATGCATGTAATTTGTGTCATGATCAGTAATTATTTAATGTGATGTAATTTGTGTCACGATCAGTAATTATATAATGCGATGTAATTTGTGTCATGATCAGTAATTATATAATGTGATGTACGTTGTGTCACGATCAGTAATTATATAATGTGATGTACGTTGTGTCACGATCAGTAATTATATAATGTGATGTACGTTGTGTCACGATCAGTAATTATATAATGCGATGTAATTTGTGTCATGATCAGTAATTATATAATGTGATGTAATTTGTGTCATGATCAGTAATTATATAATGCGATGTACGTTGTGTCACGATCAGTAATTATATAATGTGATGTACGTTGTGTCACGATCAGTAATTATATAATGTGATGTACGTTGTGTCACGATCAGTAATTATATAATGCGATGTAATTTGTGTCATGATCAGTAATTATATAATGTGATGTAATTTGTGTCATGATCAGTAATTATATAATGCGATGTAATTTGTGTCATGATCAGTAATTATATAATATGAAGTAATTTGTATCATGATCAGTAATTAGATAATGAGAGGAAATAACAGGTTCTACATATGATCTAAAGACAAAAAAATCCATGAATTAGGGACAAGTACAAGTGCCATTCAAACCTGAATATAGGTAACGCTGTAGTACATGTATGAACATCTAAACTCTCCAATAAATCATATGATTTCTTTTATGAATTTTTGGGACAAAAACCTCCTATGTGTAGAATGCTGCAGTCGCTGTTGTTTGTTCTTATTGCTTGATACAGCTTTTATTTATAGTCGTCTTGGAACAATTTTTTCTCTGCCTCATCAGAAAGAGTGATAGTTTTGGGTAACATTAGGCCCAGGGGCCTTAACGGGTCACCCGAGTTAAAATGCTTCTCGTAACATGTCATAGAAACGATATTGTTGAAGAAAGGAGGATAACTTTAACTAAATCTTCCACCCACGACCCTCTATTAAAAATTTTTTGTAAATTGGCCGATTTTTGGCCCCGCTCATCAGCCCCTAGGAATCAACCTAGGTAAATATGTGCATCTCATTTAACTGTCAGTTTATACTTAAAATTCTAAACAAGGTTGAATTATTTATGAAAGAAAATTAACAAATTATGCTAAAAATGTAGTTGTCATATACATTTGTCTTAACTATAGTAAATTTTACCTCATCCCCAAGGAGAAATGTGAGACCCTCAGGTAATGAAATTTACAATTTTGGTAAAGCACTTAAGACATTTCCATCCATAAACAGTATTTGATTTTACATTATCTAGGATTTGAGAAAATTTTTTTTGAATTTTCAATCAATTTGACCCTTATTGGCCATCCCTCTCAGACCCCTGGGGGTTGGGAACCATACAATTTATCACTGTTGGTGTGCCTTTAGCCATGGAAGGTTTTTACATAAAAAAAACCCATTAAAATCTTTTCAGGAGTTTTCAAGGCCAAGCTGAAAATGTTAAAAGTTTATGATGCACAATTCCAGACAAATGGGGATTACAAAAAGTCTCGGGGTGATCTAAAAAATAATTAAAAGAATTTGATACTTTAATATATTTTTATTTTATGTAGCCATCATTAGGAATGAAGCAGAACATTTGTTCGTATTTAAATTTAAAAATTAGGATCAGGCATAGTGTCCTATGATATGTGTCACACATTGTAGACAATGTGTTATAATGTCATACTTTCTAGACAATGTGTCATAATGTCATACATTGTAGACAATGTGTTATAATGTCATACATTGTAGAAAATATGTTGTACATTCAAATATTGTCAACAATACGCCAGTGTACCATCATTTTAGTAGACAATGTGAAATAATTTTTAAGTAGACAATATGTTGTACAATTCACACATTATATGATAAATTATATCATAAATATTTGAAATATCTGAGAAAAATGTAATAAAAAGATGATGTCATTGTAGAACTATTTTCTGTGCACTTCTTGTAGTTGACAACCTTTCCCATCAACTTGGAATCAGGTGTCAGTGCTATAGTGTTCAATAAATGACAATTCTGTTTTTAAGTAGTATTACAAAAATACAAAACAAAACAAACAAAAAACAAAAAACAAAAAAAAAACATGTCAAAATGTTAACACAGGAAACAATATAATTTTTTTGCTGTATAAACATTTTTTGGTGAGATATTTCAACACGATGTGCACCATTTGAAATATCTATAAAAAAAACCAGTTTACACACCAGCAAACAAAAAAAAGGGAGGGGGGGGGGGAAACGTTTTGTAAACAAATCAATCATTTCCAAAACAAACAAGGACAACACATCTGTTATATTCACAACAGTTTTGTTCATATTTCAAATGAAAACAAGCAAATGTTTTAAAGATTTACATTAGTACATTAACATCACCTTGATCTTTGATCGCTGAAACAGTGATTTATCATTGTTCAATATTCTTCAGAAATTACTGAAATCGCTATAATGATATTGGAAAAGGGGTTCAGGATTTTGTATCCATTTTAAAATGACCTATACATGTATTTTGACCCAGACAAATCAACTCAGATGAGATATTGTTTTAGCTGAACATTTAATAAAGATTTATCAAAATCTTTTCTAAAATGAAGCTTCTCAAGTGATCACATTAGTCTTGGACAAAACAGAATAGACATGAATGATATAATAGCCAGGCCCCACAGACAACCTTCCATTAAATGGTGAGAGAATCCAGATCATAAATTGACTTCCTAGATTAAAAACCATGTGTACAATATACCATAAAATCTGACATTTTTGTGGTGTTCAAATTTACTGGGTTTTTTCAATACTTATTAGTGGATTGACAATTGATTTCGTGGTTTTGTAGAGCTACCTACCTACCAGTACTGTAATTCAACAATTTGTGGAGGTATGGATTCAACAAAAATTCATAGTATCCATAATCATAAGACTTCTGTTATCTTTGTACTGGTTCCAAGTAAATCATTAGTTATCATTAGTGTTGGTATAGCTAAGTACTTGTGGTGACTGATATTGAAATCATCAATAATATACCAAATGTCTTCTATTGAAAAACACGAATATATTTTTATATGGCTGAGTCAGTAGCATGTTGGATTATGCAACCTCTGGTGAAGATGTGAAAGGTGTGGTCTTATCTTTATCCTGGCGGCTTGTGTTTATCGAGATGCTGATTACAGAATGTTCTGTACTGAAGTAGAACATTTGACCAATGACTGTACAACTTCAGGTAGAAATGTGTCAAAATGACTATGGGTTTTCACTACCGATAAACCAGGAAAAAGCCAAAAACTGACAAATTTTTGAATAGCAGCATTGGTAGGAGTAAAGCAGTCATTCAGGACATAACATCACTCCTCTGTCATTTCATAAATGACCAGAAAATTCAATGCACAAGATTAGTCCTAACAAAATTGTTGATGTAAGTATTTTTTTACTGACTTAACATCCACTGATTCGATTAATGAGCTTACATAGATAGTAAATGTTACTCTGACCCCAGAACATTAAACATGAACTTATCAATTAAACTCTTGTCTAATCCTTCTTATGTAACATTTTTATTTCAGTCCTCGATCACTCAACAAATTCCAAAGATTGATATGGCTTTCAAGATGGAACAAATCATATGCCATAACACTCTGTTACAGGTAAAAAGGCTGGCAGAATCGGAATGTTGAGATCAAAGCATGTCACCCTCTTCACTGATAAGATCATCAAAAGCATCAAGTGATCTGGAATAGAAAACAAAATTTTGTAAGGAGGTTTAATGTAACATATTGATGTTACAGTTTCAGAAATTTAGGAAATCAAATTAAAGTTTATACCTCAAGTGTTTATGTATGCGTCAAGAAAATATCAATTACCTTTTTGATCTCCCTAAATCTAATACCCAAAATAAAAGACTATTTACATATTGAGATGTACTTCTGTTTAGTTTCTGTTGTACACCCAAGCCAAGCAGCTGACTAAAAGATGCGCAGAATCAGATATCCTAACAAGAGGCCCATATGGCCTGTATCAAGACATCCTGGCAAGAGGCCCATAAGGTTTATATCACTCACTAGGTTTGACTTTATGCAAATTAAAGGAAAGGATTCTAAAGATTTGCAAGTTTTTTTCCGTTTGGGCCGTGTCCTTACCAAGTCTGGACGAAATACTGTCATTTCTACAGAATAAGGATTTTCAAGAATTACTAGCTACATATCCCATATTGGGTCCTGCCCCTGAAGTCCAAGAGGACTGACACCAACCATTTACATATGATTGATTCCTCTTCATCCGAGGATATGTCAGATCAAATTGGGATTGAATCCTTTTATTCCTGGAAAAAATTGAGGATTAGAAACCATTTTTGATCCTGCCCTTCAGGCCACTGGTGTTCCAGAAGAAGAAGAAAGACCAAATTTGTAAGATTTTTCTTGTTAGTTATAATCAGCATAGATTTTTTTTCGAAAAATTGACAGATGCAATGCGAAGGCATAAATTTACAGATCCGCCAGACTAGGTGAGCTAAAAATGTATGCTATCATCTAATTCATAACAACATGCAATGTGTTATTGACAACATCTGTAAAGTTAGATAATGGTAGGCAATCATGCTTACTTACAATTGTTCCCAATTATAGCCCTAACTACAGCTTATCCATGCAAAATTAAATTTAAAATGTAAATAAATAAAACCGTAGCATGCACATGTTTATGGTCTTCAATATGTATTGATATCCTTCACTATTCCAACATAGAATAAAAAAGGAACAGCAGAAAAATTGGAGAATTTCACAAATAACATTGGTTTATAGAAAAGCAGAACATCCTCTCAAAACAGACAACAAATATCATGTTTTCATTTGATGACAGAACACTATGTACTTGATCTGTAAATATGACATTAAATTTTTTTAACTTGTCAGGAGTGTTTTATCCTTGGAATCTGCCCCAAATAGTTAAAAACAATGACTTTGCTGAATTGTTTAGCTAAACGTCAATGAACTGTTGTGTTGATATGATGTACAGATGTTTTGGAGTTCATGAGGTAACTTCAGCTTGTGGACAAAAGGTTTTGCTATGAATAGTCAGCCGTTGACAAAATGTTAACTACCTACTTCCCTTTACAAAGTGTGGGTAGCTACCATTACCTTGACATCTGACAATGACAACTAGAAGCTGGCGTAAGGGCAAAGTGAAGGTTTCCTGGTGAGAACAATTTTTTCCTTCTGTTGGAATTATTAACATCTATCTGCTGCTACCTTGATCTTTGACTTTCACATTTAATTAGGACCTAGCTTTCAATAAAAGCAAAACTATGAGATAATTTGCACTAAATTCTGTAGAGCATATTTTCCAGACAACATAGTATGATCATTCAATCCTTGCAACCTTGACACTGATCGATGACCTTGACACTATCCTGATAAATTTAAAATCCGACATAAGAAAAACAAAAACAAAACAAGAAGAACACAAGCTTTAACCATAATCTGTAGTGGTAGGAATAGTTATCAAATTATTAGCAATAAAGACAAAAAAATCTCATTTCAGTTCTTAACAATACTACCAACTTTCAGCTAAATGTACCAGTGGAACATCAGAAAGAAGAAGTTTAAAATGTGTTTTTCAAGAAAGAGATCATAGCGGCATATTGAACTTTGGACCTTACAAAATAAACAGCATTTGGTCAGGATTATAAGTAGAACTTGAGAAAAAATTTTAAATGGGCAATTTTCAGAAAAACCATGATTTAGCAATCATGTTATACAATGGGTGCAATGGTTGCCATATTGAATTTTACTCATGGATGAAAAATAACAGCACATTGTCGACTTCCCTTCCTTGACAACCCTACCAAATTCAGGTCAATGGCACCAGTGGAACTTAAGAAGTTAAAAATGTGTTTTCTTATATAGTGACAATGGACGTCATGTTAGATTTCAGACTGACTCGAAAATAAAAATGCATGGACAGGACCATCTCAGAATCATTTCAGGCAAGCTTGAGCTCAATTCTAAACCTGGAACTTGAGGAGAAGTTTAAAATGTAAAATGTTTATGCATAGAGTATGGAGCACGATGGCTGACAAATCACGATGGATTTAGGTCAGATGACTTTAAAACCAACATAAACATAAATTCTCAAAAACTCAGATCAATGAAATAAAGACAAAACACTTAGAATTAAGGTACTTAAAAAAGAGGAGAATAAGAATATGTTGTGTGGAGTGGTGTATATTGTGGAGTGGTATGTTGTGTGGAGTGGTATGTTAGTGTGGAGTGGTATGTTGTGTGGATTGGTATGAAGTGTGGAGTGGTATGTTGTGTGGAGTGGTATGTTAGGTGGAGTGGTATGTTAGGTGGAGTGGTATGTTGTGTGGAGTGGTGTATATTGTATGGAGAGGTATGTTGTGTGGAGTGGTGTATATTGTGGAGTGGTGTGTTGTGTGGAGTGGTATGTTGTATGGAGTGGTATGTTGTGTGGAGTGGTATGTTGTGTGGAGTGGTGTATATTGTGGAGTGGTATGTTGTGTGGAGTGGTGTATATTGTGGAGTGGTATGTTGTGTGGAGTGGTATGTTGTATGGAGAGGTATGTTGTGTGGAGTGGTGTGTTGTGTGGAGTGGTATGTTGTGTGGAGTGGTATGTTGTGTGGAGTGGTGTTTTGGTATGTTGTAGAGTGTTGTGGACCAAAGTGATGTAGTGTGGAGTTAAATGTGTCAGATGTGTGTTTTGGAGTGGTGTAACATGGTTTGTTGTAATATGGAGTGATGTAACATATTGTGTTGTGTAGTGGTGTGGTGTGTTGTGATGTGTAGTGGTGTGGTGTGTTGTGATGTGAAGTGGTGTGGTGTGTGGTGATGATGAGTGATGGGAATTAAAGATAGCCTTCTGTTTACATGGACAATGTTGTGGGGAGATGACTCTTGTTGTGATGATGAGTGACGGAATTTAAGACAGTCTTCTGTTTACGTGGACAATGTCATAGGAAGATCAATTAGGTTGTGATGATGAGTGACGAGAATTAAAGACAGTCTTCTGTTTACGTGGACGATGTTGTGGGAAGATCACTCTAGTTGTTCTGTCCACAGCATTTAAAACAGGTGGATTTTAAATAAATTTGATAGTAGATCATTTTGGTGTTGAACAAAAAGGAAACGTCATAAACTTGTGTATGATAGTTGCTTTAACAGTAAACCCCTGTCGCTCATCACCACGGCAATGTCACGGTGTCTGAATCTAACAATTCATCCTGTAAACTCACAATGATCATCCCTCCTGTGATTCCCCATAAATGCCCCATGCCAGCAACAGTTGAGCCAATTGGTCACTCCTGCAGAGTCTGAGTACCAAATCACCTCCACAGTACTTTACTATTGAGTTGTTTCGTGTAGTAAATGACATATTTTGGTCTAGTATAGAGGAGTTTAGTATAGCATGGAGATGTTCACTGAACTATGGAGTGGTTTGGTGTATGAATCTGTGTGTTGAGATTTAGATTCCTAATACTAATTGTAAGTACTGTATGTATGATTATATAATATTGGGGTTATTACACATTATCTGTACTTACATGGAAGCAGGAGAGGAGACATGTGCAATGTCCATTGCATTCATTATCTGTTCAACATTGATCGTGTTGTCATAAACAGATCCAAACCCAGACATGTCATCCATTTGCCAAGTCATTTCTCTGATAAAACATCAAGTATTTTATTCAATTTGTGAGTTAAAATGCAACAGAAAAGCCACAACCCAAGCAGACATAACCACTAGCAATGTAACACAACATCTAGGATAGGTGTGTAGGGAGCTTATCTCTGATTTATATTAACTGAATTTGAAAGACCAGTGAAGATGAAGCACAAGCACTGGTACACAACTAACATATTAATAATAATGATAGAATTGTTCACACTGACCTATGCTAAAATAAATATATCTTTTTTGTAATATCTTGTTAAGAGTTTTACAATATTCTAATACTGTTGACATGTGTTAGATACAGTTATAGCAATTTTTGACATTTTAATTTTTGTCTGATAAAGACACTGCCATGAACACTGACAAAGGATGGTGACAAACACAGACATGGACACCGACACATAGACAGAGAGACAGACATGGACACTGACGCATAGACATGGACATAGACACAGACATTGACATAGACATGACATAGACATGGACACCGACACATAGACATAGACAGAGAGACAGGCATGGACACTGACGCATAGACATGGACATAGACACAGACATTGACATAGACATGACATAGACATGGACACCGACACATAGACATAGACAGAGAGACAGACATGGACACTGACGCATAGAAATGGACATAGACACAGACATTGACATAGACATGACATAGACATGGACAGAGAGACAGACATGGACACCGACACATAGACATGGACATAGACACAGACATAGACATGACACAGACATGGACAGAGAGACAGACATGGACACCGACACATAGACAAGGACAGAGAGAGAGAGTGAGAGAGAGACAGACAGACTTAGACAAAAACATAGACACAGACATGGCAACAGTCACATACATTGACATGACATAGACATGAACACAGACACACAGACATGGACAGAGAGAGAGAGAGAGTGAGAGAGAGACAGATATAGACAAAGACATAGACACAGACATGGACACAGACACACAGACATGGACAGAGAGAGAGAGAGAGTGAGTGAGAGACAGGGAGACATGGACACAGAGACAGACATAGACACAGGCATTGACATGACATAGACATGAACACAGACACACAGACATGGACACAGAGAGAGAGAGAGAGAGAGAGAGAGAGAGAGAGAGAGAGAGAGAGAGAGAGAGAGAGAGAGAGAGAGAGAGAGGGGAGAGAGAGAGAGAGAGAGAGAGAGAGAGAGAGAGAGAGAGAGAGAGACAGACAGACATAGACAAAGACATGGACACAGAGACAGATAATCAACAAACATGGACTCAGGCCTATATGCAGACATACAATCATGGTTTTCCTAAACAGGGATGATAAGGAATGGCAGTCAACAAAATGATGCTATTTTTCAGATTGATCCAAAATCCAATATGGTCATATCATGACCACCCTCTTTAATTATACATTAAATAAACTTTTTCTCCCAAAGCAATGGTGCTAAAATTTTGTGGCATTGTAGAGAGATTGAAAAGAAGAGTTCCTACCACTTCTGTTGTTATATGTTCTATCTGTACAGTGACCATTTTGTTTCAATGTACTGTACAGCCACATAATGCCATGCTTATGAGATTATTATTCCTTATTTTCTTTCACTTGCACAACAGCGATATGATTTGATGCCTGATTTGGCCTCACAATACTCCTCATTCATTGGTTTAACTCAGTATATGGTCTCTTCCTTAGACAAAAGTTTGGAAGTATGAATAGAACAGTTTTTTGACGACATTATTATATACCATCTCTACTAGAAAATTGTCAACACGGCACAAAACATCATGTGACCATGTCCATTTGGTAAGTAATAGGTTCCAGTATAAATAAGATAGTTACAAGTTGTATTAATTGTCTTTTCAACACAGAAATTATGAGTTAGTAGTTTAGGATATCTCCAAAACATCAAAACTCAAAGTTACAAAGTCTGTTGTTTGTTTCTGACAAACCTGAAAATAATCTATCAACAGTATTGAAGAACTCAGTTTGTGATAACTCTCACCATTTCATCATAAGATTGCTGTGTGTTTTACCGTTTGATGGCCCTAATGACCTTTCATGTGTTGACAGGTTGACAAAAGTTTGCTGAGATGAAACTTTGAAGAATATAAAACTGAAGACAAATTTCCATAACATCTTGTTTTAATTGTTTCTAAAATGAAATTTATGAGATCAGCCTGTTGCCTTACCATCTATTACAGAATATAAGTATTCCCCTCAGGTCTTTATCTGCATGTAATTAAACCCCCTTAGTCATATCTGTCACAAATGCAGGTACATCTATTTGTTGTTGTGAATGGTGAGTGAATTGGTCACGTGTGCGTGTGTGTGTATGGGTGAGGGAGGACGGGTAGCGCAGGGCTGGACAAGAGAGACGAGCGGTCATTGTTTGGCAGAGCTGTTTGGCCATGTTGTGATTATTTTCCTGGCCATTATTTGTGTGTGATGAAGTTGGATATCCAACTGGGGTAAGTATTCCTTCAAAATTGTTGTCTTAGTTGGCTATTTCATGCCATATTTAATTTGTCCCTATTACCGGTCAACAAATCTATCTATCGATGCGTGTCCACTCGAGCGTAACTATTTGCTGTTATCGTATACAGGTGTGTTGGTTTTAAATGTCATTATTAACAGTATTAGGTAATTAGGATTTATGTTGTTTTGGAGTAAAATAATGTGTTGATATGTACAAGTAATTTAGTTGCTTTTAAGTGTATATTTTGCTTAGTAACATGATTTTGTTCGAGCAGTTTATCTATGGAAGCCCTGAGTTGAAGTTGTGCTAGGGTTGAGTGCACGCAGGTGTAAAAGTACAGAAGGCACTCATTAGCATATATACATTTGTTTTGGCATTATTATTTAAAGAAAATGGTCATGCATCCTAGAATTGAATGTTTGTAGGGTTATATGTACTATTAGATTTATCATTTATAAAGGGAAGTAGAATTGATGGTAAATCATATAGTTAGTTAAGGAATGTCTTAGTTGGATTAATGTATGGATGTGCATGAGTGTTTATGATATTTTGTTCATGTTTATTATAGCTTCACACGATGGGCAGACAACTAAGTTAGGCTACCCAGAGCCTGCAAAGAATGTGACAGACTGGTATGCAATGGGACTGGCCAGTATTGCAACAGCAACCACAAGGGACACGGTAAGCTACCAGGACGTTGAGACAAGATGTCCGACGGGCTAATCATTCAGTGTTGGTGTTGTAGATCATGTTCTGAGATAGATCAATGATGCTGATATGCATATGATATGCTGAAATGGTGTTAGCCTTGGGCTACATTTTGTATACACTTCATGTGCTGTCTTGTGCTTGTGGACGACAAGTCGGGACCGGTCAAGATAACTTGTTCTTTGAGTTTGTAGGATTTCCTTGGAGAAAGGTGACAAGACTCCCAGTGTGTGAAGAGACTGTAGTGTAACATTTAGACAGTAGGTGTGGAAGAAAATGTGGGTGAATGCGAGTGTGTTATTGTCTATATTTAGTGTACTTAGTGTAAATAAACCTGTAAATATATGTATTGCAGTATCTCTTGTAATTTCCTGTGAGTGCTGAACTGAGGCTTGTCCCATGTTACAAATTGGTAGCAGAGGTGGGATAACTGACGTTAAGTAATTTTGGGAATAGAACACATGAGATAACGTTGGGTTAGATTGCTTGACTTTTCCCCATTATTTCTTGCCCAACTTTTCAGTAATTTCTGGGTGCACTAGGGGTTGTTTGGAGTAGGGCATACTCACGGGTAAGTGGTATACCTGACGGATGGTGATGATATACAAGGCCAGACAAGGTGAGTATATTTCATTCTTATGTAATTAAGGTCTTTTCTTTCAGTTTGTTCATTTTCTTTCTTGCATAATTTTCATCATGTCAGCACTCCATGAACTTATAATCATGGGAAAGGAATTGGGCTATGAAGGTACAGAGTTGCAGAAGTTTGTTCGAGAGGAGCAAGCCAAGGAGAGAGAGAATCCGGAAAAGGAGAGAGAGGAAAGGCAAGCACAAAGGGAAGCAAAGTTTGCTTTTAAGATGGAGACAGAGAAGAAAGCTATGCTTGCTGAACAAGCCAAGATAGAGGCTGAGAAAGAAGTGAGAGTGGAACGTGAGGCAGAAGAGAAAATAAAGTTGATGGCAGAAGAGGCTAGAATAGAGGCAGAGCATGAGGCCAGAGCATGAGGCCAGAGCATGAGGCCAGAGCGGAGGAGAAGGCGCAAAAGGAGCACATTCGTAAGATGGAACTCCTCCAAGCTGGAATTGGCACGCAAGCGGAACAGGTAGATCAACCTCCCAGAAATTTACCCGAACATAGAGGTCCAAAGTTACTGGCCTATGATGAAAGTAAGGACAACATGGACACTTATATCCAGAGATTTGAAAGATATGCAATGGCCCAACACTGGAAGCGAGATGACTGGGGAGCAAATCTGAGTGCGTTACTCAAAGGGAAGGCTTTGGGTATGTTCTCCCGGCTATCTGTTCAGAAGTCATTGGACTTTGAGGAGCTGAAGAAGGCGCTGTTCAAGAGATTTGAGATGACTGATGAAGGGTTCAGAAAGAGTTTTAGTCCGCAAGACCCGAAGGAGGGGAGACCTTTGTCCAGTTTGCCATCCACATTGACAATTACCTCGAAAGATAGATCGAGCTGACTAAGACGGAAAAAACATAAAATGGGTTTAAGGCCTTGAATCTTAGGGATCAACTTCTCTACTGCTGTATGCAGGATTTGTCACTTTTCCTGAAGGAAGGAGTTCTGTTATCATTAGAAGAAATGACTAGGCTGCTGATCAGTTTGTTGCTGCAAGAGGAACTCAAGCAAATGCATTGACATCCAGAGGACACAGCCAGAAAGGTGGAGGACACAAACAACCGTCTGCGGGTGGCAGATTGTCGTAAAAAGAAAGCTGGAGAAAGCAGAGTAGCTTCTATGACACAAGCACCTGAGAGAGGTTTGGACAGAAGGACACAGCAATCTTTCAAGAGGGACACTTCTCAGGAGTTGAGTGTGGCATGCAATATGAAGGTACCAAGGGCGTATGTGATGCTGATAGTGTTTGGCAGAGTGGAAGGGAAGCTGGTCACTGTGCTAAGAGATACTGGTTGTGATGGGATTGGAGTGAAGAGAAGTCTCTGGTTGACCCCCAGAGGATTTCTGGCAGATTTAGAACCTATTACTTGGCGGATAGTTCTTTAATCAGATGTCCCCTAGTGTATCTTGAGGTGGATACATCCTATTCTAAAGGAAGCATGGAAGCCTTTATGTTGGAGTCTCCACAGTACGAATTAATAGTTGGTAATGTGAAAGAGGTGTGTCCTGTGAATGAACCAGACAAGAACTAGAAAATAGAAGACGGTTCAGGCGGTTAAGACCACAGACCAGGTAAGGAAGAAACAATGACCCTATGCACCTCTTAGTGTACCCGAGAGCTTTGGAGAGATTGGCAATGTTCAGGAGGTGAAGGAGGCACAACAAAATGACCAAACTTTGGAGAAGTTTAGGAAGTTGGCAGTGAAGAAAGAGCCTTATGTATGAGACGATGGAGGGAGATTAGTGGTTTTTTTGGTCTTTCTGTATCGAGAGTTCAAAATACCGAAGGTTGCCGATGGGAAAGTATTCAGACAGTTGATAGTGCCAGAAAAGTACCACCACCAAGTTATGAAGCTTACGCATGAGTCCATCATATCTGGTCACTTGGCAGCGAAGCGTACGTTGAATAGAGTAAGAGTACTCTCCAAATTTTTTTGTGTGTCAATGCACTTTTCAAGAGGGTAGCCGTTGACATTGTGGGTCCCCTTGAGCCAGCCACAGAACAGGGAAATAGGTATATTTTGACCGTGGTCGACTAGGTATGTGGAGGCAGTAGCATTGCGAGGCATTGAGACTGAGCGAGTTGCAGAGGCTCTGGTAGATATTTTCAGCCATGTGGATGTACCAGTAGAGATGCTAACAGACCAGGGAGCTCAGTTTATGTCCAACTTAATGAAAGAGGTTAGTCGACTACTTTCGATTTGGTAGTTGACCACAACGCCTTACCATTTTGTTTGAGTAGTTTATCTATGAAGCCCAGATTTTTAGTTGTATTTACCAGAGTATAAATAAACACCTCAGGTCTTTATCAGGGTATAAGTTAACACCCCATGCCTTTATCAGGGTATAAATAAACACCTCAGGTCTTTATCTGGGTATAAATAAACACCTCAGGTCTTTATCAGAATATAAATAAACACCTCAGGCCTTTATCAGGGTATAAATAAACACCTCAGGTCTTTATCTGGGTATAAATAAACACCT